TTTTCAGTTCTCTTCTATGTCTTCATTGTAACAAATGGATTTCTGGCTTGGAGGTCGGAGGCCCTGAAGTCTCCGGGCTTCTGTTTTCTTTCTCTAATTGTTCTTCTAAGCTAATTACCTCTCTGAGTTGTCATACAACATTTTGATGAAAAATATGGATGACTTTCCCAATAAAGTAAGTATAAAGCATTGCTGCATTCTAAAGAAATGAGAAATCAGTTTGTGCCTTACTAAGGCCGATTCCCTGGCTCAGGGTTGGGGGTTAGCGCACTGGTGGATTTGTAGAGAGGCAGCCTCTGTGCGCTGATGTTAGGGCAGCCATTTTCCTTCTCTCCCTTGACTCTGTTCCCTCAAGAAGCCACTCTGCAGGGATCTCGTACACCTTGGGCAGGGGGACAGGGATAAGGCCCGCACTTAACAGGCTCAGTAGGTCCTACAGCTGCTGCCACACTCTGTATGGGTGACAGGTTTTGAAGCAGCTGCCGTTAACTGCTTTGGAACCTGAATGAAATGGCAGCTGCCAAAGTCTGCTGGCTCCAGCTGGGTAATTCCGTGCGTTTCACTGTGTGCAAACCTTCTTTGAAAAGTGAATATTTAAGAGGGGCGGAGGGAGGGATTTTTCTTATCTATAGCTTCTGAGGATGCATTTGGTTTTTCCAAAGGTGGAGAGAACTGCACAGAATACAAATGTTAACAGCAGAACTCTGAAGGGCTCAGGCAACTGACATCCCCGGAGTATGAAATGAAGAGAGGAGGAAATTAAGCTGCCTTATCGTTCTGTAGTGCATAAGGATGTCCACACACAGAGGGTCAGGGAGAGACTGAGGCTAGCAAAGGAAGTCTGTGTGAGTTATAACAATAAGTACTCCAGTGCTGCTATTACCCTCTGGTTCTCTCTACATGAACCGAATGTTCTCTCCCATCATGAAACAGACTCGGCTCTGGTTTGACGACAATTTTCCTCATTGTTCGTGTCCCCGTGGAGAGATGCACTTCCAGACGGCCCTTGTTGAGGAATATTGCATAATAGGCCTGCAACAGCAAACAGGTATTGAAGGTTAAACAGAAATCTCATTGGTGACTTTATCTTTAGAGAATACCTGACATACCGCAGATTCATCTGCTCTGAGATCTTACTTGAGAAGTTAAGACACAACATTTTCCTAAACAGAGGTTTTAAAGCAGTTAAACGTGTCTTTTACATCATATACCGCTTTTGCTTGTTAGACAATCTGGAAAGTGGACCTATTAACATAGTGGGTCCCCGCAAATCAGGCTTGTGATGCTAAAAGTAGCAGCTGTGCCTGCATTGGCCCTTTAACTTACAAAAGCCATCAGGAGTAGGAGGCAAAAGGTGTCAACAAAATCCCTCTCCCTTGTGTCCACAAACGGACAGTGAGATTCTGGGAAGCTGGTCCGACTCTCAACCTCAATGGCATTTCGAGTGTTTAGACTTCCAATTTGTTCCACGAGCTGATGGACTAGATTGCTATCACAGGCATGTAACTTGTCTCCCACATTTAGAAAGAAGGAAGACAATTTTTCATCCACAAACACGCTTGCTTGCTTCTTGCTACAGTTACTATAGCAACCAGTAAGGTTTTGATATCCCATTATGAACCCTGGGGAGCTGAAATGCAGTCCTTGTCCCCAACACCGAAGCCACACCGTCTCCCTTTCTTCTGGAGCAATGGGACACCTGCTGCACAATGACCGCTTGGTCTTCTGTGAGTCCTCTATGCTGATGGAGAGGCATTTGATTAAACCTCATCATGTCTCCGGTAATTTGCCAAACCATCAGTGAGGCTACATGTCAACAACAAAACATCCTGAGAATCTTGATTAGCGTTCACCATCTGTCAAAGGGGCAACCACAAACTACCCCCTCAATTTAAAAATTTCTGGCTTGGTGCGGTGGCTCTTGCCTATAATCCCAGCACTTTGAGAGGCTGAGATGAGGAGATTGCTTGAGCCAACGGGTTCAAGACCAGCCTGGGCAACTTGGTGAGACCTCATCTATACAGTAAATCAAAAATTAGCCAGGAGTGGTGGTGTGTGCCTATAGTTCCGGTTACTTGGGAGGCTGAGGCGGAAGGATCACCTGAGCCCAGTGGATCGAGGCTGCGGTGGCCATGAGGGTGCCACTGCACTCCAGCCTGGGCGACAGAGCGAGAGACTCCAACTCAAGAAAAAAAATATTCTTAGCTGATTGCTTTGATATCTCAAACCCATTTGACAGAAAACAATCAGAGATAACACTATGGGTATCAAAACTGTTAGCGTTAGAATATAAAATGTGAGGCTGGGCTCGGTGGCTCAGCCTGTAATCCCAGCACTTTGGGAGGCTGAGGCAAGAGGATTGCCTGAGTCCAAGGGTTCGAGACCAGCCTGGGCAACTTGGCGAGACTTCGTCTCTGCAATAAATAAATTTAAAAAATTAGCTGGGCGTGGTAGTATGTGCCTGTGGTTCTGGCTACTTGGAAGGCTGAGACAGAAGGATAGCAGGAGTCCAGTGGTTCAATGCTGGGGTGGCCGTGAACGTGCCACTGCACTCCAATCTGGGCAGCAGAGTGAGACTCCTCAAAAAAAAAAAAAGAATATAAAATGTGTCAATTTAACCAGCATTTGTTCTACACCAGACATGAACAATTTTTCATTGTTTCCTCTTTCAGGCGCATTTACTATGAGATTTTAAAACTATACATATTCATTATTATAAAATGTTGAAACATGAAAATGTTATTTTTAACTTACTTTATACTACGGTACTTAATATTTTCTTAGTTTTAGTAGAAACATGTTTTATTATAAGAACTATTCTGAAAGCTGGTGATTCATGTCTTGTTCTATAGCCCTGATGAGGAGAAATTTGGAGATAGTAGGCAGTGTTTAATTATTTGGCAATGACCAAGGAGTCAAATATCCTTTAGTGGAAATCTATTTCAGAATGTTTTATATGTTCCTACTATTATAACTAGTTTATCATTTGTAATAGCGTGAAAATAACTTTTTCAGAATTAAAGGATACAGAATTTAAGAGAGCATTTATATTTTATATTTATTCCATGCTTACTAGATACAGTGAAAAGTGAAATAATGCTTTTTTCCTCTATTCTTCAGGGATATTTTTATTATGACTACTGGATACATTCCTCACAAATAAGTGACAGACATGAAAGTGGTGAAGCTATGGTAATACTATAGAGTAAAATGAATACCTGTGAATCTACCACCCAATTTCTGAATCAGTACTATTGTATCGCCTGTGAGTTTCTTTCTTATTTCATCTCCCTGCTTCTCTGTCTCAGAGGTAACCACTAACGTGGATTTTATGTTTGTCATTCTTTTGCTTTTTAAAAATTATTTTTGAAAATTCACATATGTATCTGTAAACATTTAGTGTTATACTTGAAATCTATAAAAATGGTATCATATAGTGAATAGAAAAGAAATAGAAACGAAATATGCACTACATACTATATGATACCATCTAGTATGTATATTTAGTTGTAATTTATTCCTTTTTCCTATTGCTTACTGTCCCATTTTGCAAAAATACCACAGTTTGCTTTTCCGTTGTGGATGAACATTTGTGTTGTTTCTGGTTGGTCTATTATAAAGAATACTGCTATAAATATTCTTGTATATGTCTCATTGAGCACATGTGCAAGAGTTTGGGTCTACACCTAGGAGTGGAATTGCTGGCTTACAAAGTATGCACATGCTTCCACTTTACAGGATGGTGCCAAATTGCTTTCCAAAGTGGCTTATATAAATTTAGTCTTTCCACCAGCAGTGATTAAGAATTCCCTCTGGTTCATGTCTTTCCAATACTTGGCATAACAATATTTCTTAACGTTTTAACATTCTAGTGGCTGCAAAATCTAGTGTGGTTGAAAATAACAAATGAGGGGGCCATTGACAAATGGGTCAAACATGTTTTCTCTTCTGTGAAATGTGTGTTAAAGTCTTTTGCCCATGTTTGTATATGTTTTTGTTTTTTTCTTATTGGTTTGTAATTGTTACTTTTTGTATCCAGCTTACTATTTTTCCTGTGGGCTATATGTACTAAGCTGAGCCTTGTGTTTTGTGTTGTGTGATGACCAAAGAATTAATTTTGATGCAAATTTACTTATAATATTGTTTTGCTTGTTCAATTTTTTTCTTTCCATCTTTAAAACTTTAATTTATTGAGAATTTATTTTTTGGTTTGAGAATTTATTTTTTGGTAGAAATTTGGTTTCTTTTTTTTCCCTATATGAATAATAAATTGCTCTGGAATCATTTTCCTGAACAGTCCACTGTTTTTTAATGATCTGCAATGCCACCTATTGTCAAATGATGTTTCCATTTATGTTTGGGTAGATTCAGGGTTCTCTGCTCTGTTCCACTTGCACCCCCATGGATTAACACCACATGACTACTGTACAATACTCTGCCTTCTAATGGGCTGATATCTGGTGAAAAAGCCCTATCATCTTATACTTCTATTTCAGGAACTTCTTGTGTTTTTCATCTTTGATATAAATTTTAAAATAAATTTGTCATGATTTACAAAAAATAAGGTAATATTTTTATTGAAATTGAATCTACATATTAACTTCGGGAGAACTGGCATATTTTTAATAGAGTCTTTTTTCCCCCCCATTAACAGGTTGAATATTTATTTATTGTGGAATACGTTAATGTCTTTCAATACAATTTTATAATTTTCTCCATATGGGTTTTATGTCCCTTTGTTGTACTTATTCTTAAATTATATTTGTTTTTATATTATACCTGTACTATACTTACTTGCTCTCTTTTATTGCACTGGCTAAGACAAGTGCAGTTAAAATAATCATCTGTTTCTTGGGCTTGATTTTACAACAAATGTTTATAATGTTTTCCTATCAAGAAAACTTGTTAGTTTAAAAAATAAAGATGGCTATGAAAGTTCCTTTTTCTTAGTTTACTAAATATTTTTTTAAAAATCATAAACGGGTGTTTAATTTTACCAAGTGTTTTTGCTATATCTATTGAAATGATTATATGATTTTTAGGTTTTCTAATATTAAACTACCCCAGTATTCCTGAGATAACCCAAGTTACTCATGGTCACACATATTTGGATTCTATTTGCTCATATTTTGTGTAGGCTTTATTTTTTTTTTAGGGAAAGAAATAAGATTGATTACATAATATTATTGATTCCTAAAGGTTACATCCAAAAATCACCTATAATTACAAATAACACAACCTGATTTACAAGGGTGCATGCATAATTAAGGACTATTTGTAAAGCATCCCATTGTTTTGATCATGAAAAACTAATTCTCATGAACCTTTTCACTGGGTAACTAGATTAAATGGAAAATTATATTTAAAAAAATACAATTCAAGATATTAAAGGAATACCATGGCAGTAAAGAGCTATGGTGCCTAAATCTGGGCAGTTGACTCTTTTAACAGAATCAAATGGACAGGGGATATAAATGCTCAAGTTCAGGTCATTACAAAGTAGATATTAAGGCTTTATTTTAACATCTTTGAGTGTTATTGGGCTATATTCATTCATGCCTATGTTAGTTGTGATCCATTTGCTTTCTCCAACCCCAGGTCTACTTTCTGCCTTTCTCGGTGTCCATAGAGGATGGGAAACGTCTGGCTCCAACAGATTGCATCACCTTGGCTAGTGCAACTGGGAAACTGATCTTAGAAGTTATTTAAATTTAAATTTAAGGACTCCTAGTCAGATAGCTACAGATCTGGTAAGAAATTAGACTTAGAGACAATAAAAAAGTAATATAATTTGAAAATATTTTAAGCTTTCCTCTTTATATATGCACATGTTAAACCAATATGAAATATAGGTTCAAATACAAGGTTGACTCTGCCTCTGGAATTAACCAACAGGAAAATTCCAGAGAAGACAATTGTCCTGAGAAGATGACATGAGAGAAACAGGAGGCTAGCATGGATAAAGGAAATGTTGAGTCTTCACTAGCCGAAATGAGAGGAGAAATAAATGATGTGAACCTAAAAATATAAGGTTCCTTATAGAAGCATTCGGAACAATGCATTATTTATTAGGTGTGAGGGTACCTGTCCAGTCTGCCTTCGCTTTCTCCTCGGTGCCCCTCCACTTCCCAAGAGGATGATACCGGACTCATTCTTGGTGCTGAAGGACAGGTTGATTTCTGTTCCTACTTCAATTGGCACAGGGGAAAGCTCCACAAAACCAGGCTTAGGGAAGCTAACTGTGTAAACATTCTGTGGGTAAAGGGAAGAAGAGTAGCAATCATTAGATATTATAATTTAAATTAATGTTTCCATCTCACTCACCCTTCCCAATGTCCTTCATGTGACTCTGAAGTACGCTGTGGTTTCAGAAAGAAATGGAAACCCACAGTTACTTGGAAAGCTTAAGAGCTGTTGAAGGAGTATCATTTCTAGTTATAACACCACATATTCTGAGCAGTCTGGGTTACAATAAAAATTATGACCTATGTTTTTATTCTAGAACTTTTGATTTAAAATATAGATTATCATTTTTTTTTTTTTTTGGTTTAAACCAAGGGCTTAAACCAAACTGATACACAGTTGGGTACATATCTATAAATCTCCCCAAGACTCTCTTGAAAACACTATAATTAATTTCTTGAATACACTATCAATTAATTGTTTATGTTTCACAGGTGAGTACAACCATGATCTATGTCTGCATTCTTCCTAGTAATAAGCCCAAGGTAAAAATGTTCTCTGTAATCAAATGTATAAATATACCCCAGAATAATTTTTTAAAAATCAGATAAAATCTAAACCTTAAAAAAGTAAACCAAATATTTTATAGTCTAGTGTTTCTTTAAAATTAAAACGATACCATTGACTTTGCTGATTTTAAAATGAAAAGTTACATTTAAAACAGTAAAAAAGGGTAAAAGGGAGACAATCACCCCTCCCCAATCCTAAAGCTGTACAAAAGCATGTAGTTTTCTGTAATTCATTCATTCATTTTCTCCTTCACAGACTTGTCCTCTTCTTATTTCCCCCTTCCTATATTTAAACTGAATCTTGATAGACAAGTTCATTTCTAGTGTCTGTCTTTACTTACATATGTGTAGGATCTCTCTCTGTCAGTAAACAAAGACCGTCATTATTTTTAAAGGCTGGAGGACTTTTCACTTTGTATGACTGTACCAGCATTTATTTAAGCAAGCAAGTTAGGAATTAAAGTGCTTAAAATATTCATTTTTAAAGCCCTGGATTTTGCTGGAGTAAAAGTAAGGAATCCTGTAATGTGGGCTATTTTTCCCCTACAATGTTTCAAGCTTAGTTATATGACATGAGTTGGTAAAATGTATAATCTATTTTCGATTCCAATTTTCAAATCATGGAGTTTTAGATAGTTCAGATAAAACTACTGTGCAGACTTTTCAATATTTATCCACATCAAATTTCTGCCTTATATCCTACTTGCAAAATAATTCCTGGTTACTGAAAACTGCCTTTATAGAATCATCATTTCCACACAGAGAAGCTATTCATTTTCTGGACAGTTTTCCATCCCCATGCATATATCTTTTGAATGTGGATGAGACTTAGGCTTTGAAGATTAAAACTCTCAATAACGTTTTCTTTAAGAAGCCAGTATGGATCCTTAGAGTTTCAGTTCTTTGTGTATTTCCTTTTCCCTTATTTTCAAGCTGCTCAAGGTGGGCGTCTGCTGCCAATTCCAAATTGAGTCTGTAGCTATGAACAATGAAGACCCTGAAAGTTCTTTCTAGACTTTAAAATTCATTGCCTAGGTGGTGTATTCACTTTTTTTCTTTCACCCCATTATCCATTTTCCTGAATTCTACTGGAGTGCTTTAAGACAATTCTAATTGAAGGAAGTAGCCAAAATGAATAATTGTACCATAGCAGGGTGATTAAAATCTATAAGTATAACATACTTAACATGTTTTTTTAAAAAACAAATTAATCAGTGTTGCATTCCCATTAAATTCTTTTTCACATTGGCCACTGACCATTGGCTCTTGCTATAGATATTTTAAGAGAACAGAGCTATGACCTGGGTCTTTCTCATACATGGGTCAGTCTCGATTGAACAGTCAGTGCAAAATAGTCAAGTAGAATCTGGGGGCTGCTAGGCAGCTTTAGCAACAAAGAGATACCGAAGGTACCAGCGGACAGGCAACTTCACAGTCATGTCAAATGCAAGTCTTGGCAGAGCTAGATGTCTCAGGTCCCAGGCTATGTTATTACAAAGACAAGAGGGCTAGAATCCAAAGTTGTAGGTGAGATTCTATGCACTAATGACACACTAATGCTTGCTGTTTGTGTAAACTCCAACACACTTCAGAAAAAGATTAAGCTTGCTAATAAAATTACATACAATATATAAAGGTTAAAAAAAACTTAAAATAGATGACAAGCGTGATGAAAAAGAAAAAGTACTATTGGAAAGGAAGAGAGAAACAGAAAAGAGATTAATATTAAAGATAAATATGTTGAAGGGCTATACACTTGGGAAGTTGGATTACAATTTTGGATCTTCATAATACCATTCATTTATAGAATTCTTCAATCTTGCTTTATCATTCATGCATAGCTAAGATTAGGGTTAGTAGAAATCTGAAATATATCAACAAAAGACTGATCCCTGAAAAAGCTGCTACACTGAGTCAGTGAAATATGATATGAATGCGTTTAGGGAGCCATTAAAAACAGACCAACCTCAAGGGAACACCCTTTGGTAACGCCAACATAATCAGGGCTACTGAGTATATTGTATGGAGTTCTTGAGATTTCAATATCTTTGAGGCAGCCGGCATATTTCTTCAGATTTACTTCTGGCCTGTTGAATAGTCAAACGGAAAACAAAAGCAATATCATGATGATGAGGGTGGAGCAGTGTCTGACTCCTGGAAGAAAGTCTTGTAAAGCAGACACAGGCGGGTACACGCCTATCACACTGTGCACACGTGTAACCAGCAAACTCGGCTTTCTATGATCTACTGGTTGATCGAAGTGGATGTCAATACCACCCTGTGGAAGGAGTCTTTGTGTAGTTCTTCTCCTCTTTAAAGATAATCTCACTCAAAGCATTTAAATATAAGGTACAGGAATTAACTGACTTCTTATTAATGTTTCATACGTGTAAGGAAATAAATGCTTCTTTTTTCACCAAAGAGGTAACTGTGTAGACAGCATTATCAAACTACACATGAAAAAATTTATAAAAATCTTGCTCAAGAGTTAGGAAACAAATCTGGAAATGTTGACTCTGAAAAGAAAATACTTTTTTTTTCATTGAGACTTTTTGGTAGGTAGCTGAAGAATGCAATGATATGATATACTTCTTCAAAGCTTTTAAGTAAAACAAAGTTCAAGAAACATTCTTTTGGATTACATCGTCTAAAATCAGATATTATAAAATTGGGTTTATAGATTGATCCCAGAGTCTGTATCCTATAGTATAACAATAAAAAGTAAAGTAAATGCAAAAAACATACAGTTCATTTTTCTAATGAAGCTGAAAAATGGCTTCTTTACCCAAACTACACGTGAATGTTTATTTTTTGCTCACTATTTCTTAAAATGGGGCAAATGTGTCAGGAGATTAGAAAATGAAATCCTTGCCCTTGAGTCCAGATGTTGCTCTGGCTTATTATGTGACATTATGCAAGTGATCTGACTCTTCTAAGACTTGGTGTCCATATATGTGAAGTGGGCATGATAATAATAATAATAGTATCTGCATGATCAAGCTGTAAAGTTTGCACAAATTAATGAGCAGCATAGCATACAATACATGTTCAATAAGCATAAACTAGCAAGTTGTCAGTGACGATGATGATTCTTTATTTTTAACAGTGCTGTCCCAGAGAACTTTCTGTGATGATGGATATATTCTGTTTTTGCACTGTCCAAATCAGTGGTGACAAGTCACATGTGGGTATTGGGATTTAAAATGTAGCTTGTCCAACAGGGTGCCTGAATGAAACGTAATTGTACACCTAACCCTTAACTGTACCCCACAAAACCATAATAAAAAATACTGATTAATGAAAAAAAAATGTAGCTTGTCCCCAAAAGAAAATATTTATTGTTATTTAATTGTATCTAATTTACAGTTAAATAACCACTGTGGCCAGTGGCTACTATACTGAACAGTAAAGGCATATAGGAGCAAAAAAGACAATTCTTCTTTTCTTTTCTTTTTTTTGAGTTGGAGTCTCACTCTGTTGCCCAGGTTGGAGTGCAGTGGCACGTTCATGGCCACCCCAGCGTTGACCTGCCGGGCTCCAGTGATCCTTCCGCCTCAGCCTTCCAAGAAGCTGGAACTACAGGCGCACACTACCACGCCTGGCTAATTTTTGATTTCATGTAGAGATGAGGTCTCACCAAATTGCCCCAGCTGGTCTCGAACCTGTGGGCTCAGGCAATCCACTCACCTTGTTTATGTGGTATTATTAAGCATCTGTAAAAACTGTCCAATCGAGTTGGGCACGGTGGCTCAGCCTATAATCCCGCGCCTTTGGGAGGCTGAGGTGAGTGGATTGCCTGAGCCCGCAGGTTCGAGACCTGCCTGGGGCAATTTGGTGAGACCTCATCTCTACAATAAATCAAAAAATCAGCCGGGCGTGGTAGCGCGCGCCTGTAGTTCCAGCTACTTGGAAGGCTGAGGCGGAAGGATCGCCGGAGCCCAGCAGGTCGAGGCTGCGGTGGCTGGGAGCGGCCACTGCACTCCAGTCTGGGCGACAGAGTGAGACTCCAACTCAAAAAACCCCCCAAAAACCCCCCAAAAAACTGTCCAATCGATACCAAAATATTGTACTTGATGGGGCAATGATCAATTCTCTCCTCATTGTCCTGTGATGCCAAGTTTCCCTTTTGAATCTTAATGAAAAGCACATGGCATGAGAAAAAACAGGTGGGAAAGCAAATTAGATCCTGGCAGTGTGTATCAGGTGATTTATTTCGTGTCAGATATTTGTTCTGTTTTCCTCCCACCCCTTCTTTCTGTAACTTTGTTTCTACTGGTAATTTCCTCTTGTTCCTAAGGTTTTCCTTTTGTTCAGGAAGAACGTGCCCAACTGGAGTGAGGATCTTGTTTGCATGTTCCTTGTAAAAAGCCAAGGGACTGGTGATTTCCATTCACAGTGTTCACTTGTCCTCATGGCTTCCTTTAAGGGCAGGCCGATTTATCACATTTCTTTCGGAGGTCCTGTCAATAAAGTATATCACGCCTGCAAGTTATGTGGTTCCTTGTTTCATGAAAATGCAAAGAGCCATTTGAAAATATAACAATTGAACAAGCTTGATATTATGAAAATCACAGAGGATACAGAGTCAAATGTGATGACCTGACTCCTAATGGTAACCACAGAGCTCTGTTTCTTGCAGCTCACCAGTCAAAGGCAAAGCTACACAGTGCCACCTCAGAATGTTATTAACATGTTTCCATGAAAGCCAACCTCTGCCTTTTGGCCACCTCAGCACAACTAATTTCACAACTGTAGCATGATCAAAGAAATTGTGGTTTATTTCTCCCCCACTTTCATTTCTACATAGTTTAGCTTTTCATATTAAGGATCTGGCCTTCGCTTTAAAAATTTCTTTGATCAGTTCAGCTTCATTATCTCCTTTCCAGAAATTTGGCACAGCTGGGCTTTGAAATGCCCAAACATTAGGCTTTAGCTCTCGTCAGACTGTGCCAGCCCCGCACACCAGCCGTTCACAGAGGCCTGCGGCTCACAGCCTTCATGCTAATGCCTGTCTGCAAGTAAGAATTTAAATGCTCCTGAAAAGCTAGAGGAACTGTCCACAAACTTCTTCACCATTAACACAAACACTTGCTGTAAATATAGTTCTTTGCAGAGATTCCTTACATCGGGCTCTGTGGCTCATTTTATTTTATTTTCAAAAATTCATTAATTTTAAAGATATGGGCTACAATTCAGGATTAGGTGTGCAAATGGTCATTGTACAGCTAAAGTTTGGGTCTGACTTTGGTCCTCACTTTGCCTGGTTTGAGATCAGGTATACTTATTGATGAAGTGTGTCCCCCACCTCCCCTGGCAGTGTCCTAATACTGCCAATCCCTTTCTTATAGTTTTATGATAATTGTTCAGGGTCCGCTTATGAGTGAGAACATATGGTACTTAGTTCTTTGTTTCTGTGATAGACCGTTGAGTATGCTAGACTCTAGATCCATCCAAGTTGCTGCAAAGTCCATAATTTTGTCCTTCTTTATGGCTGTGTAATATTCCATCACGTATACGCATGCATGTTTATTGCAGCACTATTCACAATAGCAAAAACATGGAACCAACTATGCTGCCCATTGAAAATAGACTGAATAAAAAAAATATGGTACAGATACACGATGGAATATCATGCAGTCTGTAGCTAATTTTAAATAAACAATGGCAATAAATAAGCAGCTTTGACGAGAGACGCAAAGACCGTGTCAACATTTGCATGTTTGCACCCTGCAAAAAGCAACAAGGCGGTGGTAAGCATTTGAGAGCACAAATTGATTGTTCAGCAGACAGCATGGTACTAGAGAGGCCAGAGCCTGGGGTTGAACCCAAGAGACCGCTTTGCTCTGTTCCCCAGAGCAAGACTGTGTCCCAAAACGTGACCAGTTGTGCTTTGAGTGAGTGCTGCTGGTCACTAGAAGTACTGTGCACGGGTGGCTAAACAGATAAGCAGAGCGAGTCTATCATCACTGCAGGTGAGACAACTGAGATTGCAGCCCAGCTGATGGTGGGTAAGCAGCAGCGTCTTTGCCAGTGAGAGGCACCATGAGCAGTCTCTCAGAGCACACAGCTTGCTCACGAATCATACGATGAACCAGCAGCATGGGTGTCACTCTGCTTCTGCACGGCTGCTTTAGCTAAGAAGCCACAGTCACCCAACCCATGCACTTGAAGAAGACATGCATAAATTTAAATTTTACCTTGCTTTCATACTAGGTCAAAGGAAAGAGGGGGAAAAAAAGCAAAAATGATTTACTTATCATTGCACTTTCATTTAGTAAAATAGACCTTTAATCATCAATCTTAAAAAAAGTCATTTCAAAGAAAAGAGATGCAAACAAACCTGACGGAACAGAAAACAGACATATGCCCTTAACTGCAGTGAAATTAGAATTCAGATATGGCCACTGCTCACACTATTCCCTTGGAAAATTTTTATTTTGCAATATGAATTTGAAGTACTATTTTTATCAACCCAATAAATGGGAAAAGTACGAATGTTGCTATTCTGTAGTATTTATGAGTAGCTTATAAATATTGCCTCTCAAAGAGCTTATGCTTGATAATATATGTAAAAATAATTTGTTTACTGTAAATTTTGCATTTGCACAATATGATTGCTTTGAAATAATGTGCTACACTATAGCAATATTATACTGTAATTATGAAATGCCACACTGAAAGAAAAAACAGCTCAGTGATAAAGATTCACTAGGTATATAATCTCTAAACCAACTAAGACAGAAACCCTTTTCTATGACGTTAACAGGTACACCTTTGCAGATAATTCCTAAAAACCAGTGTTTGATAATTAAAATAATCACTAGAATAAATAAAGCTAAGTTTGGATAGCCTTATTTGGGCTGAATTTAATTCAGTCAATAGAGTATAGTTGCAAACAAAATCTTAGATTTGAACTACTACTGGATACCTCATATTTAGTGTGGTGCCCATCACATAGTAGATGCTCAACAAACACTTGTTGAATGACTGCTTGATAAATGGATTTCCAAGTAATGACTGTCACTATTCAAATACATTTCATTTGTAATGATTTTTTCTGACTTGATACTTTAAATCTATATTCCTAACACAATGCATTATAATGAATGCAGAGCCAACTCATTTGCACTACGAAGCTCATCAATTTACACCCCTGAAAACCTGGTAATTAGATAGTTGCTTGGCTTATGAATTTAGATTGGGGAGAAGAGGAAATCGACCTGCACGCTAGCTGTCATAAAATGAGACTAAAGTTCCATTGCTCATTTGGGAAATTTGGCAATAACTGACCACCCAAATGGAGTGGTCTACCCAGCTGAAAAAAACATTTTTCAGCTATTGGTTTTTTTCCAAAGATATTCTGTCTTTTCGGAGTAGAAAAACCTATACAGGACTCTTATAACCGTGAAAAACTACCAAACTGATTAAATACAACAAAACAAAAAATTAAAAACAGGGTCGTCTGTATTTGTAATAAATTCTTATAGTTTAACCAAATCAATGAATCCCATTCTAACTTAATTCAGTGATCATTTCTTGAGCTCCAAGTACCCTATAGATTTTCTTATGTTTTATAAACAAGCAGAAAATTAACTAAATACCACCCAAAATATTTTCTGACTTTTTTTAGTTACTTTATTTTTTGAACGAACTTCATTATGAGGCAAATATGTCTCCCCATGCTGCTAGCAAAAAAGCATATGTGAAATTAAAAAAAAAAAGTTGGCATGGGCATAAGAACAACTAATATAGCTCTCGTATTAGGCATATGGGGAAGTTCCAATACACCATTACGATGCTAATGCTTGGCAGTAAAATAGGTTATACTCACAGTATCTTGAAACACTGACTAATTTTCAGAACACTAAGCAATGTCAGAGTGCCATTATCTCCAGTGAATGTGCAAAGAGAACAGCAATTACACAATCCACATTCAACTCTGGCTTCTACCTTTAATTACTTTCATAATTCTTTTCAGCAGGTGCATATGAGGGAAACAGTGACTCCAATCCATCTCTTCAACAAAGATGTCAAACTAATCCTTTGCTTTCTAAATCCTGCTGTTGTTCTAACATGCAACATGGTTTTTTTGACGAGGTCATTCAGCAGCTAAGGGTTCTATGACATTCCTACTGTAATTAAACTTCAGAACTCTAGTGAGCACAGTGGCCATTTAATTAAAACTTAATCCTTAGCTTTACATATACACCAAATTACCTCAAATTTCTCAGCGTTGGCAGGCCACCAAAATATATTTTGTCATCTGCTTTCAAGTCAAGACCAAAGTTGTTTCCAGAAGACAACGTTGCCATGTTCTCCTCCTGGTTAGTATCTATGTCTACAATGGATATGTTGGCTATAAAGGAAGATAGAGAGTTTAACAATTTATTTGAGTATCATTAGCTGTATCTATATTACCACTGTTACTTCAAGATAATTTTAAATTTAATTCTAGAATCAACGTTGACTGTCTCAAGCATTCAACCTATGCTTAGCCATTTGCTGACTGCAGAAACAACAATAACATCGATAAAATACATCATTAAACAATCTACAGAACAGCATGAAAGCAACAGCGGATGAAGGCAAGCCAATAAGGACAAAAGAGAGAAATTTAGAGGGACATTAAAGGTCCATTTGAAATAGTTTTCTATACTATAGATAAATAGTTAGAAAATAAAGCAAAATAAATAATTAAATGTTAACCAAGATATCTAACTATATATCGGGCATTCATTAGAAAGTTGCATCTGTGGCTCTTTCTGTAAATTTCACGATCCATGTAACTTCCGGGTGAGGTGCCCCTGCAAAGAAAACATGACTCACTTTGTAATGTAGTCGTACATGGAAGTGGAGGGATGAGGATCTTTGGTTCTGCAAGATGATGCCACCCAGATCCACGGCACATGGCATTTCAAATTGAGATGCTCAGTGCTGTGAGAGAGGTACAGTTCTCCTGCCTTACTGCTTTTCTCTTGGGTCTCTTGAGGTATTTCTAATATGATGGAGATAAGAACTCAGGAATAGAAATAAGGAAACTTTTTCTATTCCCCTCTTTAAACTGCATTGTTTAGAAAGCAGATGGGAACTCCTTATCTTGTTGATTTCCTCTCCTCCTTCTTAAGGGTCATCCTAGGTTCTTTCTGAATTATATTTATTTTTTACCATAATATTTGCTTAGACCCAGTCTTTCGCGGCTTCATATACATTGCCGATGCATATTGAGACACTGGTTTATTAACATGACAGCTCTCGCCTCTAAATCCTTGCCTGATATAAGATCCAAATTCGCAAGGACTTGAAAATGGACATTTGAACCAATGGATTATGAGGAAATTTTTAAATGTTTACTTGAAATGCTAGTTTTTTGGATGCTCCTGGTTCAAATAAATGTTTGTGCCTTTTGCCTACTTTTTAATGAGGTTATTTTTTTTTCTTGTTCATTTGCTTAAGTTCTTTATAGATTCTGAGATTAGCCCTTTGTCAGACACATAACTTACAAATATTTTTTCCTGTTCTGTAGGTTGTCCATCACTCTGCTGATAGTTTCTTTTGCTGTGCAACAGTTCTTAGTTTAATCAGGTCCCACTTGTCAAGTTTTGTCCTTTGCTGCATTTGCTTTTGAGGACTTGGTCATGAATTTGTTACCTTGACCATTGTCCAGAAAACTGTTTCCTACTAGGATTTTTATGGTTTGAAGTCTTACAGATAGGTCGTTAATCCATCTTGAGTTATTTTTTGTATATGATGAGAAATAGGGGACCGCCTTCATTTTTCTGCATATGGTTAGCCAGTTTTCCCAGTATTACTTGCTGAAATGGGGTGTCCTTTCTTCAATGTTTTTTAAATCAACTTTGTTGAAAATCAGTTGGTTATAGGTGAGCAAAAGAAGACATACAAATGACCAACAAGTATATGAAAAAGTTTTACCATTAACTAATAGAGAAATGCAAATCAAAGCCACAGTGAGATACTATCTCACGCTAGTCAGAATGACTATTATGAATAAGTCAAAAAACGCTGGATGTTGGCGTGATAGTGGAGAAAAGGGAACACTCATACACTGCTAGTGGGAATGCAAACCAGTTCAATGCCTGTGGAAACCAGAGATTTCTCAAAGAACTAAAAACAGAACTACTACTCAATCCAGCAATCCCATTACTGGTTATATATCCAAAGGAACTCAAATTGTTCTACCAAAAGACACCTGCACTTGTATACTTATTGCAGCATTATTCACTATAGCAAAGACATGAAACCAATCTAGGTGCCCAGAATTGGTGGACTGGATAAAGAAAATGTGGGTATAATACACCATGGAATAGTACACAGCCATTATTAGAAAGAATGAAATCATGTCCTTTGCAGCGACGTGGATGCAGTTGGAGGCCGTTATTGTCAGTGCATTAATACAGAAACAGAAAACCAAATACTGCATGCTCTCACTTGTCTGCAGATACCCATGACCTAAAGATGAGAACAACAGACACTGGAGACGCCTAAAGTCGGGAGGAAGCAAGGGCTGAAAAACTATCCTTTGGGGACTATGTTTTCTCTTTGGGTGATCGGTTCAATAGAAACCCAAACCTCACCATCATGCAATATACCTATGTAACTAACCTGCACACATACCTCTAAAGTTCAAAGAAAATAAATATATGAATATGACAAACACTGGGCTACACAAATATTTTAATTTTTTGGCTGCTTAGATCTCTCAACATGTTAACATACAATACAATTCTTCAAGACAAGGATATAAAGCAAGAAGTTATTCCCAAATTTATTTGACTACGAAATATTATTATGTCTCCTCAACGAAACCTTTAGAATTAGTGCTCTTTGGAAGGCACAGAGGAATATCAAATCCCAAAATTCCTTTGTAGTTTATAACCCTACCATTCCAAAAAGATTTATCTTCAATAAAATCAAACATAATTGCTTTGTAAAAAAGGACCAAAATGAAATGCCTAAACCCATTCACACTTCAAATCCTCGAAGCAGACTTGAAAAAACAACAAAAACATCTAAAAAGAATAGCTGTCCTTAAAGATACATAGCAGGTTAATATTTTAAAATTTAATTACTTTCGTACACATATTTAATTACTTTCATACACATAACTAGTTTCATATGCATATATCTCCTTGACTAGACTGGTGACTAAAAGGAAATAGATTTATAAAACTGTTCTTAAAACTTTTTCATAAATATTCCTTTTTATCTAGATCAGCAAAGACATTTTCATATGAGACTGTTGACTGGAACATGAAAACAGTCTCTTTCTGCAGACCTGGTAGGTATTTTAATGGTGTCTGAAAATGAGATTCTGCTTTTCTATCACTGGCAAACCAGTGACTGGAGGTAGTTTTCCTCCTTATCCATGAGTGAATATATGCATTTTTAGAAATCATTCTAAGAAAAACTGATTAAGGAGCAGGAACACAATTGAATTGAAATTCACTGGCCCAAGCGTTAACTGGCAGAGAGACCTAAGACGGTGTATTTTTACTGACTTAAAGGAAGGGTTTAAGCCGGGCTCGGTGGCTCAGCCTGTAATCCCGTGCCTTGGATGGCTACGGTGAGTGAATTGCCTGAGCCCATGGGGTCGAGACCTGCCTGGGCAACTTGGCAAGACCTCATCTCTACAATAAATCAAAAAATTAGCCGGATGCGGTAGCGCGCGCCTGTAGTTCCAGCTACTTGGAAGGCTGAGGCGGAAGGATCGCCGGAGCCCAGCAGGTCGAGGCTGCGGTGGCCGGGAGCGGCCACTGCACTCCAGTCTGGGCGACAGAGTGAGACTCCAACTCAAATAAAAAGGAAGGGTTTAGCTCTAACCGTGAGTGATAGTGAAGAAGTAGTTTCTCCTAGGAAATGCTAGCACTCACTTTTATTTCTTGCCCTATTTCTTTTCCTTACAGAAAAAGGAAAGTAAGTTATTAACACAGAATTTCAGAGTTGATGAATTTAGACATCATTGATGGGTAAGCAGGGAAGATAAGGGTTTTATTAAATAATAGACACAGAATAGGGACTTAACAAGTATTTTATAATCGATGCTGAGCCATCAAAAGTGAATTGTTTTTACTTTGGTAATTCTTTCTTTTTTCTCTCTCTCTGAATCCACTGATAATCTAAATAATTCTCCTCAACCTTGTTTCCATATCAGTGCATTTGCAGGATGCGGCACACTTCTATTCGTCATGGTTCAACAAATCTCAAGGAAGATGGGGAATGCCCTCCTGAAGGATTGCACTTGAGAGGCAAGGGACAGTGCTCCTACAAACTAGCTCAAAATAATTCATGTAAAACAACTAATTTGATTACTGAAAAGAAGCAATGGCCCACATTGCCAGAGCCTTATTTCAGTTTCTGTCCCAACTACTCTGTGGACTCTGATCTTACTAAAGTCTTCAGGGACCTCCAGCCAAACCCAGTGAAGTCTTTTTGGTCCTTATTTTAAGCCATATGTATGTAGTGTTTGATGCTGTTACCATTTCCTTCTGTCGAGGAAATTTCTTTTGGCTTCCATAATACCAAGCTCTCTGGTGTCTTAATTCTTATTCTCAAATTTTGCCTAGGACTTATTTTTGAGCACTTCGAAAACGTTAATGGTCCCCAATCTCTTCTTGTGCCTACTTCTTGGGTTTTAACCCTCTGAATATGCTCAAGTTTTTTAAAATCTATTTATAGTATGTTGATGATTCCAAAACATGTATGCCTGGACCTGGTTTTTATGTAAAAATCCACAAATAACAGATAATAATCAAAATTAATTAATTAAAGTACAGATGATATTGTCACCTGCATTTTCCTTGAGTGCCTCAAACTAAACATTCTAAACCGAAAGGATTATCTTTCTACTCCCAGATCTGTATTACTTTTTTTTCTTCCCACTATTCATGTCTAATCATTCAACACCTTACCAATTTCTTCTCCTAAATAACTCTAATCTTTTCCCTTTTTTATTTTTACGTTAGAGTTGTGAGGTACATGTCAGGATTTGCTACATAAGTAAATGGCATGCAGGCGAACTTTGAGCTTCTAGAGAGCCCTGGGTCCCCGTGTCTGTTCTATTTTTCTTTTTCTTTTTTTTTTTTTGAGTTGGAGTCTCACTCCGTTGACCAGACTGGAGTGCAGTGGCCACTCCCGGCCACTGCAGCCTCGACCTGCTGGGCTCCGGCGATCCTTCCGCCTCAGCCTTCCAAGGAGCTGGAACTACAGGCGCGCGCTCCCACGCCCGGCAGATTTTTGATTTATTGTGGAGATGAGGTCTCGCCAAGTTGCCCAGGCAGGTCTCGAACCCACGGGCTCAGGCAGTCCATTCACCTCAGCCTCCCAAAGGTGCAGGATTACAGGCTGAGCCACCAAGCCCGGCATTTTCCAAACAGTTTTACTGAGGTGTAATTGACATCCTATGATTCGCCCCTACTTAGAGCGCACAATTTGACCACTTCTGAAATATGTATATCTGTGGAGTCATCACTACACTCAAGAAAATGAATATATCCATCACCCCCAAAGTTTCCTTACGCTTCCTTGTAACCCTGTCATCCTGCCTTTTGTGTGTTCCATCACAAGTAGCTTCTGTCTGCTTTCTGTGCTGTAGATTAGTTTGCATTTTATATGTGATTTTATATAAACGTACTCTTTTTTCTTTGCCTTATTTTCCTCAATATTTACTTGAATATTTATCAGTTTTTATGTATTTGAATGCTTTATTACTTTTTATTGCTGAGTAGTATTCCATGGGAGGATACACCACAATTTGTGTATCTCCATTTACCTGCTGATGGAAGTCTGAGTTGTTTTTAGCTTTTGAGTCACACAGATACACGTACTCTGAACGTTCTGGTGCAAGTCTTTGCTTTCATGTGCCTTGGGTAAATATCTAGAGGTGAAATGGCTGATTCATGTGGTAGGTATATATTTAATTTTGTAAGAAACTTCCAGCCTGGTGGTGGTGTGTCATTTTGTATCCTCACCAGCACGTGTAAGCGTTCTAGTTGTTCCATATTCTTGCTAGCACTGGGAATGGTCAATCTTTTTAATTTTGGACATTTAATAACTGTGTCATGGTAGTGCACTGCAAATTGACTTTGCATTTCTTTAATGGCAAATCTCACTACCACTCTTATTTCAAGCATTATTTAGTTCCTGCCTCGACTATTGGTCAACCTAATTGGTCACCCCTGTTTCCACTTTGATCTTTTGGATCAAATATAGACTAATATACATAAACTGAAATTAGTAAGTCACATCTCAACTTAAAATCAAGTTCATTAGGATGAACCCCAACTCCTCAACATGGTTTAAATGACTTCCTGTGATCTGGTTCTTGTTAACATGGCTGGGGCTATCTTCCACCAAACCTTTGAAATTTAAAGGTCAGTAATTTAAAAGAAGTCCAAGCCGGGCTTGGTGGCTCAGTCTGTCATCCCGCGCTTTGGGAGGCTGAGTTGAGTGGATTGCCTGAGCCCGCGGGTTTGAGACCCGCCTGGGCAACTTGGTGAGACCTCATCTCTACAATAAATCAAAAACTAGCCTAGCATGGTAGCGTGCGCCTGCAGTTCCAGCTACTCGGAAGGCTGAGGCGGAAGGATCGCCAGAGCCCTGCAGGTCGAGGCTGCAGTGGCCAGGAGCGGCCACTGCACTCCAGTCTGGGTGACAGAGTGAGACTCCAACTCAAAAATAAAAAGTAAATAAAAAAAAAAAAAGAAAATAAGTTCAATTTTCCCCAAATAATCTATACTTTTCTATATCTTTATCTTTTCAGGTGATGCATCTTGCCCTGGATTACCCCGCAACTGTCTCTATCTCCCCCCCAAAATGCCTTGAGCTCATTTTGTGTCTTATCGCTTCTTCCATAGTGTCTACCATGAGGTTTACTGCATCCTATAGAATTTATTTATTTATGTAGCACAGATTATAAGCCACTCAACGGTAGAAACTGCATTCATGTACATTGATTCAGCATAGCATATGTCACATAGTTGGTATTTAATAAATGTGTCTCATAAGAGCTGATCAAAGCAGATAGCAAGGTTATTTTCCCAAGTCTTTTTCTTTTTAATTCTCTAATTTATATTTCACTGCTTTAAATGTGATCTTTGAATATTGCTACTGCAGATAAATTGCTATATTCTTGCACTCTGTCGAGAGTGCATTTTTAAAAACTTTATAAGAAGTCTACATATTTTTGTATTTTGTGAATTATTTGTGTATAACCTTTGCTCTTTTATCTATTGTGGCTTCAATGTTTTTATCTTTATGAGAAAAATGAAAATACCTAAGGCTGGTTGCGGTGGCTCACACCTGTATTCCCAGAACTTCTGGAGGCTGAGGCAGGGGGATTGCTTGAGCCCAGGAGATCAAGACCAGCCTAGGCAACACAGCAAGACTTCGCCTCTACAAAAAAATCAAAAAGTTAGCCAGGCATGGTAGCAAGCGTCTGAAGTCTCAGTTACTTGGGGGGCTGAAGTGGAAGGATTGGGAGATAGAGGCTGTGGTAGCTGTGATAGTGCCACTGCACTCTAGCCTGGGTGACAGAGTGTGACCCTGACTAAAAAGAAAAAAGAAAAAAAGAATGAAAGATTAATACATGTTATTTGACATGCTAGAATAATAATACTTTAAAAATAGCAGAAAAATATACTAACTATGAAAATACAAATGGAAAAATAGGACAGTTATACCTGTGTTATAATCAACAATGTTGCTTATTTGATTTGACAAGTTAGTGATGAGACATCAGAGGCAATTGAGAATGGGGAACAATTATGGGGCAGAGAAGGCTGAAGTTCCCAACCAGGTTTGAGAATCAAAGTCTAAACAACCGAACCTTCCAGGGCTTAAGGTGATGATTTTTTGTTCTTGGTCAGAGCCTCGCTCTGTCACTCAGGTGGGAGTGTAGTAGCACAATCACTGGCCACTGCAGCCGCGACCTGTTGGGCTCAGGTGATCCTTCTGCCTCAGCCTTTCAAGCAGCCAGAACTGCAGGTGCACACCACCATGCTAATTTTTTGATTTACTGTTGAGGCAAGGTCTGGCCAAGTTGCCCAGGCTAATCTCGAACTCCTGGGCTCAGGCAATCCTCTCACCTCTGCCTCCCTAAGTGCTGGGATTACAGGTATGAACCACCACGCCCAACTTGAATTTCTATTATTATTATTACTATTATTATTATTATTATTATTTTTGAGTTGGAGTCTCACTCCGTCGCCCAGACTGGAGTGCAGTGTCACGCTTCCGGCTACCGCAGCCTCGACCTGCTGGGCTCCGGCAGTCCTTCTGCCTCAGCCTTCCAAGTAGCTGGAACTACAGGCGCGCTACCACGCCCGACTAATTTTTGATTTACTGTAGAGACGAGGTCTCGCCACGTTGCCCAGGTGGGTCTCCAACCCGCGGGCTCAGGCAATCCACTCACCTTGGCCTCCCAAAGCGTGGGATTCTTATTATACAAGACCTTAGCCTCCACATCAAATATATCACACAGATCTTCAATTTTAAGATACTTAATGTCATTCAACTCCATTATTTCCACTCTCATGGTTATTCACTTATTTTTCATTCTCCTTTCTTTAGCTGGTTTACTGCAGACTGTAGTGACATCCCAAATTGTCACAAATCTACCCTCCAAGCTGCTGCTACAGCAACTTTACCAAAGCACGAGTCTGACGGTGTCACACCCTTGATTAAAACTTTTGAAGTTTCCTGTAGCTTCCAGGATAAAGTTGAAACTCACTCTCTTAGCTCCTAGGGCCCTTTATATACTGACTCTATTATCTCTTGGCCTTTTCTGATAATTTCCTGCATGCATTCATCTGCTTAGACTGAGGATTTACTTGAAGGTACTAAAAAGCACTTGCCAAAGAGTGTTCAGTAGAATGCTGATTGCAGGAATGGAAGGATTTCTGTGATGAAAGAAGAAATGCTGGGTCAAACAGAGGTAAACATTCTTCTACTCCACAGAGCTTCTAACATGCTAACACACGTTGTGTCTCTCTTACATGGGAACAACATATGCAGCAATACTCCAATGTAAAGAAGCGCAAAGCCAGTTTTTGTCCCAACTGAGGAGTTCCTTCAGAGCTTCATGTTCCAGAGAGATGCAGTTGAAAAGTGGGTATCATCCTCTCTGAGGGCTCCAAGCTTTCAGCACAATTTTCACCATTGAAACATCCATGTATACTTTCATCCAGAAAGCTCTTCTACTTATGCTCGAGACTCAGAGGCATTCCCCTGGGAGCTGGCCTGTTTGCCTTAAATGTTTCTCTCTTCTGAAATTGCTAGCCTGCTACACGCATCTCTATCACAGTAAGTCGCTCCATAACCATTGACACTTGTTTATCTCCCCCATTAGATGGCAAACTCCTTGACGGCAAGGATTTGCTGAGAGCTTCATTTAGGTCTTGCACCGTACTTAGTAGGAGCTTGACAGATACGGGTGACATGCAAGAACGAAACATGTTACACAGTTACATCTAAATGTTTATGCAATGTTGCGTTGGTATTGTCAATGTTAATTACATCTATTTATATTAGCAGAAGTATCAAAGTTCCATTTGCAAGTATTGGTAATGCCATAGTAAACAAAATTATAAGAATTATACTTAAATAGAAATAGCATTACAATTAAGAATGAATAGACTTGGATTTCTGTTTTGGTTGTGAGATCTTGCATATATGTCTGTGACCAGGTAAAAATTTGAGTGTACATCGTACTTTCTCTACCACTAGAATAAAATATTTGCTTATGTGATCAAATAAAATAATGTTTGTGAAAGTGTTTTAAAATGTTCCAGAACCATAAAAATGTCATGCCATTATTGATCAATCATTTATTTGCCTGCATGCACATTTTGGGTGCTTTTAATGAAGCAAAGAAGTGGTAGCTGTTCCCTCCCCACTCCCCCCTCCCCCACCCAGATTCTGCCATGGGCTGCCAAAGGCAACATCCTGGCGAAATAGGAAGAAAGGAAAAGCACATGACATTTTTCAAACCTACTACAGGATATAATTTTACAAGTTGTAAGACAGTTTTATGCTTTCAAATGAAGCTCTCCGTTTCAAAGGAAAATGACAGAAGACCATTTGGCTCTTCAACCAGTAATTTCTAACCCAAATCACCAATCATCTAAGTCAAAGAAATTACTGTATCAATTTTTCACTGAACTTGTGAGTAGCTAAAATTACAGACAGTGTTGGGTCTTTCTCCTGATCAGGTGCATGTGTGCTTTGGATAGCGCGATTAAGGTCCCACACTGCATTATTACTACAGGAACTCACCTTGTTTTTGAATTCTTGACAGGGTGAATGATTTCCATTTCCCGTCATTATGGTTTTGATTGCTGACAACGGAAGCCATTCCCGAACCCAGATCATAACTGACTTTTACGTGCCCCTCAGCAAGCTCTACACTCATGAAATCTTTCTATTAATAAAGGAAAAATACACCAGTGATTAGATACACAGAGAAATATGTGGGTATTCACTTTGTTTTGGTGGGGTTTAAAATAAGGCCTTATGGCTAAATTGCTGAATGTGTTGCTGTGTTATGGAAATCCATTTTGAAAACGGAATTGGTGTTGCTGTTTCTGTGAAATTTTGTCAGTGTGATGTTACTGTACAAACAGCCCCAACCAAATTTCTAGGACATATCCCTTTATTACAGTAGTAAAAAGTAGGTTTCTTTGAAAGCATATTAAGCAAACTCAATGGTATGTTTCCTTAAAGAATTCACTAAGAAATACTGACCTAAAACAAACAAACAAAAAAATGATCAAAGAATATTTAAAATCACCTTTTCAACTTAGGTCTCTGGAATAAGATTAAGGAAGTATTTTTCTGATGCAAGGTTACATGCTGGGAAAATACTTACTGGATACTTCTCTTAAAGGATTACATGGGGAGTTATACTGAAAATAATAGCAAATAAGTTATATCTGTGATTAAAGTTATCAATGAAAATATATAAACACTATGCATCTCACCAATTTTTGGCTGTCACACAAACTACTTTTTTAAAACAATAATTGATAATTTTATTAATAACGAGTAAGTGTTTTGAAATTCTCCCTAAAAAAAGCAAACACATTTTCAATCATGAAAGATCTGCCATGCGTATGATCTTTACCAGGTCTCGTGTGGCAAGATACATCAGGAGAGCACTTGAAGAAAATGTCCTAAACTTGAACATGACAGTGGAGATGTTGGGGTACCAGCGAATGGGGCGGCTGACCAGTGCGTAGCCTTCTCCATCAAACTGAATTGTCCCCTCACTATCTTCCACCTGAGGACTGAAGAGAGACATTTCACATGAATCAGAACCTGTCTGTTTAGTCTGTCATCATTCAATGTTTCAAACTATTTCTGGAACTGGATTGCGAGCTGTTACAGAGAGCAGAGACCATCCCAAATATGTCTTCAATCGTCCCACGTTTCTCCACCTCCACTGCCAGTGTCCTAAACTAAGTAACCACCATGTTTCAGCTTTCATTAGGTGTTAAATAACTAGGTCACTGGTGTTTTAAACATTTTCTATTTTGCAGAAGTTCTTGGTGGATAGCTATATTGACTTTTAAGTGTGTTTTAATGGTATTTACACAACATAGTCGGGTTTCTGGATGGGCTGAGAACACATTATTACATTTCCTATATGATAACATAATGGAGTACAGTCCCCTACTCTCTGAATACTCACCTTCCAACAGGGTTTTCTGGAACAGACTAGATCCAGACAATAAAGGATGCCTGTATTTATTTGTGTGATTTTTATCTGTTTCCTTCACAAGAATGTGAGCTCTATGAGACTACCTAGAGATTACGAACCAGTTCTCATATCAGGAACAAACTCAGCGTCTAGTACAGCACTTGGCTTATAGAATTCAGTCAATATTTATGGGAAGAAAAAGATTTAGTATAGCAAATTGCCTCACAGAGAAAGCATGTTCAATCAATATTGGTTGAATAATTAACAAACATCTAAGATGACTTGTGAATACAACATTCAAAATATATATTTTTTCAAATGTGAGGCTATATCCATCTATCTTTCATCTAAATATCTGATGTTGTTGCGGAGTAAGTCTCAATTGTGGGGACATCGTTGAGAAAGAGTTGCTTGCCAAGAGAGGCCAAACATCGAGATACAGTTAAGATGAGCCTACTTCACTTAACTTACTAGCTGGCACTAGCTCAAACAAGGAAAGTCTGGCTTTGAATTGGTGACTGTGGGAAGAAGAAAAACAGGAGAGAGTTCTTCTGGGTACATTCTATAATATTACAACATCTAACATTATAACAGAATGTCCTTAATTATTTTGAGTATATTTACCAACAAGCATAAAAGCATATGTTTTTATGATTAGTAAATGCTAAGCTTCTTAATTTGTCTTTTGTTTCTCTTTTGAACACTGATGTCTGGTCAAGTTAGTAAGGACAAATTATGCTATTTTAGAATAGCCATTTTCTTCCACAAGTAAGCTGTTATTTAGAGAACACAATGAAAATGGGCTTAAATGTATTAAAGTTTCATCATCATTTCAGTGCTCAGCTACATACATTTTATTTATAATAGTTTTTCTCTATTTTAATCTTAACGTGAATTTTAGAAGTTTAATAAAACTAAGATACACTTTTAAAATGTCTTTGATAGATGACTCTTTCTAAAGCATAACAATAATTATATCCCTTCTATTGACTATCTGATAAATGCAAATTTCTAAAACTGCCATTCTAAGGTCTTTTACAAAATCTTTTCTTTAGCCTTTCGTTTATATCTTCCTCATAAAGTCACTTCTGATCTTTAACAGAAACGATTGATCTTTATGTTAAAATGTGATCAACATTTTCCTGGAAAAAAAAAAAAAACCCAAAAAACAAACACCAGGGATTCCATAAAAATTATTTTTACAAATAACAGGGCTTATGGGAAAACAGGGTTGGGGTAGCTCACTCAAAATTTATGCAACTATGTAATCATAAAACTCACAAAACAATAACAACCCTAATCAAAATATTAGCTCAGCTCAAAAAGATACATTAAAACATTAAAAAATATAGAATTATGGAGATAGGACTAAGATGGAGAGAATTTCAGCTAGAGAGAATTTCTCCTACAGAGTAAACCAAGATAGAGAGATAGAGAGAATTTCACCCATAGAATAAGGCAGCTAGAGAGAGTTTCTCCTACAGAGTCAACCAAGATAGAGAGTTTTCCCAGAACCCAGAAAGGTATGGGGTCCATGAGTCTCCAAAGGAGTGATAACAACCACTTAGAGCAAAGAAGAAGAAGGAAAAAATCCACTGATCTAAGCTGGAACTGGCCAGATTCTCACCTGCACGACCACAGTCCACCACAGCTTCTGGACACAGCGGGGAAGGTGAGTGAGGGGAATTCAGGCATTCAGTGCTCCTACCACGAACTTGCAAGGCCCTCTGAGCCAAAGAATTTCCAAAAGAATCACTGCAAATAGGTCAACCCCAAGGCATATAATCATCAGGCTATGCAAATTTAATACAAAAGAAAGAATTTTAAGGGCAGTGAAACAAAAGCCTCAAATAACTTACAAAGGTAAACCTATCAGATCTTTCAGAAGAAGCCCCATAAGCCAGAAAGGACTAGAACCCCATCTTCAATCTCCTTCAAACAGCATCTCCTCAGTCAAACAAAGATTTTATATCTTGTAAAACAAAGTTTCATAAATGAAGGAGGAAAAAAAGTCCTTTACAGACAAGCAAACACTGAGGGAATCTGTCACCAGTAGACTGGCTCTACAAAGCAATTCTAAATACAGAAACAGAAAGTCAAAATACACCAGTAGAAAAATGCTGGAAATCGTAAAGTTCACAGGGCTTGTGGAATACCAACTCAATAGAGAAAATAAATAAATAAAGAAGCCAGATAGCAACCAGTATGATGAATGGAACAGTACCTTACACATAATTATTAACTCTGAACATAAATGGTCTCAATGCCCCACTAAAAAGATATGAACTGGTAGTGTGGAAAAACAACAACAAAACACAACCCAAATATCTGCTGCCTTCAAGAGACCCATTTAACTCACAAAGCCTCCTATAGCCTCAAGGTAAAAGGGTGGAGAATAATATTCCACATAAATGGAAACTAAAACTGAGCAAGAGTAGCCATTCTCATATCAGATAAAACAGACTTTAAATTAACAATAGTAAAAAACAAAAAAGACAAAGATGGTTATTATATAGCAATAAAGAGATTAATACAATGAGAAGACATAACAATTTTAAATATATATGCACCTAATACCAGAGCCCCCAGCTTTTTAAAATAAATTCTACTACACCTAAAAAAGTGATAGACAACAATACAATAATAGAGACTTCAACACTCCACTGACAGCAATAGTCAGATCATCAAGGAAGAAATTCAACAAAGAGACATTGGAGTTAAACCAGACTCTACAGCAAATGAGACTAACAGATAGTTATAGAACGTTCCATCCTAAAACTACAACATATTCATTTTTCTTATCAGCACATGAAATATTCTCCAAGATAGGTCACAAATCACATCTCAGTAGATTCACAAAAACCAAAATCATATCAAGCACCTTCTCAGATCACAGTAGAATCAAACTAGAAATTAACTCCAAGTAGTACTTGTAAAACCAAATGAAAACATGGAAGTTAAACAATTTGCTCCTGAATGATGCTTGGGTCAGCAATGAAACCAAGATGAAAATTTAAAAATTCCTTGAAATGAATGACAACAATGAAACATATTTTCAAAACCTCTGGGACACAGTCAAAGCTATGCTCAGAGGAAAATTTATAGCCCTTAAGGCCTACATTAATAAGACTGAAAAATCACGTATTGACAACCTAACATCACACCTCAAGGAATCAGAACAAACCAAACCCAAAACTGGCAGAACAAAAGAAATAACGAAGATCAGAGTGGAACTAAATGAAACTGACATAAAAACAAAGGATCAATGAAATGAAAAGTTGGTTCTTTGAAAAGATAAACAAAACTGATAGACTGCTAGCTAGCTAGATTAATTAAGAAACAAAGGGAGAAAACTTAAGTTAGCTCAAACAGAAATAAAAATGGAGACATTACAACTGATATGATAGAAATTCAAAAGGTCATCCAAGGCTATTATGAACATCTCTATGCAAACAGACTAGTGGAAATTAATAAATTCTTGGAAACATATGACCCCTCAACCTTGAATCAGGAAGAACCAGAAGCTCTGAACAAACTAATAATGAGTAGAGAGATTGAAACAGTAATTAGAGGTCTGCCAAAAACAAAAAAGTCTAGGACCCGATGGACTCACAGCTGAATTCTACCAGAACTTCAAAAACAAAAACAACCAAAACAACCAAAACACAACCTGGTACTAATTTTACTGAAGCTATTCCACAAGATTGAAGTGAAGGGAATCCCCTTTATTTCACTCTATGTGGCCAGTATCACCTCAATACCAAACCAGGAAAAGACACAACCAAAAAAGCAAACTACAGACCAATATCCCTTATGAACATAGACACAAAAATCCTCAACAAAATATTAGCAAATTGAATTCAACAACACATAAAAAAAACAATATACCAAGACCAACAGGGTTTTACCTCAGGGATGCAAGTGTCTTTCAACATATGCAAATCACAAAATGTGATCCACTACATAAAAATAATTAAAAACAAAAATCATTTAATTATTTCAATAGATGCAGAAAAAGCATTTGATAAAATCCAGCATCCTTTCATGATAAAGACCTTCAGTAAAATAGGCATAGAAGGAACATTCCTCATAATAATAAAATCTATACACTACAAACCCACAGTCAATGTCATCCTGAACAGAGAAAAGTTGAACACATCCCTCCTCAGAACTGGGACAAGACAAGAATGTCCACTTTTACCACTATTATTCAACATAGTACTGGAAGTCCTAGCCAGAGCAATCAGGCAAGAAAAAGAAATAAAGTATATCCAAATTGGAAAAGAAGAAATCAAACTATCTCTGTATGCTGAGGATATGATCTTATAACTAGAAAATCGTAAAGACTCCTCCAAAAGACTCCTGGACTTGATAAATGAATTTGGCAAAGTTTCAGGGTACAAAATCAACACAAAAAAAATCAGCAGCACTTCTATACACCAACAGCAATCAAGCTGAGAATCAAATCAAGAACTCAATTCAATTTACAATAGCAGCCAAAAAGCTAAAATACTTAGAAATATATTTAAAGAAGGAGGTAAAAGGAGAAACATCCATGCTCATGGATTGGAAGACTCAACATTGCTAAAATGACCATATTGCCCAAAGTAATCCACAGATTCAACAGAATCCCTATCGAACTACCAATTTAGTTTTCCACAGAATTAGAAAAAATAGTCCCCCAAATTCATATGGATCTAAAAAAGAGGAAGAATAGCCAAAAGAATCCTAAGCAAAACAAAAACAAAAACAAAAACAAAACTGGAGACATCACATTACCTGACTTCAAATTATACTACAAGTAACCAAAACAGCATGGTACTGGTACAAAAGCAGACACATGGACCAATGGAACAGAATAGGGAATCCAGAAATAAGCCCAAATACTTAAAACCAATTGATCTTTGGCAAAGCAGATAAAAACAAAAAACAAAAAAACTAAAAAAAAAACACTGGGGAAAGGACACCCCATTCAACAAATGGTGCTGGGAAAATTGGATAGCTACATGCAGAAAAGTGAAACTTGAAAATTTCTCTCCCCATATACAAAAGTGAATTCAAGACGGGTTAAAGACTTACATGTTAGATCGGAAACCATAAAAATTCTAGAAGAAAGCATAGGGAAAACTCTTTTGCCCAGCACTTTAGGAGGTGGAGGCCAGAGAACTGCCTAAGTTCAGGGGTTCAAGACCAGCCTGGGCAACTTGGCAAGACATCGTCTCTACAATAAATCAAAAAATTAGCTGGGTATGGTGGTGCATGCCTGTGATTCCAGCTACTTGGAAGGCTGATGTGGAAGGATTGCTTGAAACCAGCAAGTCGAGGCTGTGGTAGTGGTAAATGTGCCACTGCACTCTAACCTGGGCAACAGAGTGAGACTTTGACTCAAAACAAAACAAACAACAAAAAATCCCCCCAAAACAAAACAAAAACTCTTTTGGACATCATCCTAGGCAAAGAATTTATGGCTAAAACCCCCAAAGCAAAAGCAGCAGAAACAAAAATAAACAAGTGGGACTTATAATTAACTAAAAAGCTGCTGCACAGCAAAAGAAATAATCAACAGAGCAGATAGGCAACCCACAGAATGTGAGAAGATATTCACAAACTATGCATCTGACAGAGGACTAATATGCAGAATCTACAAATAATTCAATCAAATTAACAGGAAAAAAAGCAAATGATGCCATTAAAAAGTGGGCAAATGACTTGAACAGTCACCTCCCAAAAGATGATATACCAATGGCCAACAAATATATGAAAAAAGGCTCATCGTCAGGGAAATACAAATTAAAACCACAATGAGATACCACCTTATACCAGTCAGAATGGCCATTATTAAAAAATAAGAAAACAATAAATAGGCTCTGGTGTGGATGTGGAGAAAAGGGAATGCTTATACGCTGTTGGTGGGAGTGCAGATTAGGACAATCTCTATAGAAAGTGCTATGGAGACTACTCACAGAACTGAAAGTAGATCTACCATTTGATCCAGCAATCCCACTACTAGGTATCTAGTACAGGATAGAACCAGGCATCTAGCTCTAGAAGTTATTATGTTAAAATGACTGTACTGCATGTTTGTATAGTTCACAATTGCAAGGATGTGGAATCGCCCTAAATGCCCATAAATCAATTAGTGGGTAATGAAAAAGTGGTATTATATACATTAGGGAACACTATTCAGCTATCAAAAAGAATGAAATGGTGTCTTTTGCAGCAACTTGGAAGGAGTCGGAGAACATCATCCTGGGTGAACTAACTCGGGAACAGAAAACCAAACACCGCATGTTCTCACTTACAGGTGGGGGCTAAACTAAGGGCCTGAAAAGGTGTAGGGAATGGAATGATGGACACTGGAGCCTCAGAAGGGGGAGTAGGGAAGGGTGGAGGGACAGAAACATTACCGGCTGGGTACAACGCACACAGGTGGGGGTGGTGGGCACGTTGAAAGCCCAGACCAAAAACTCTTTGTATTCCCCAAAACTATTGCTATAAAAAACAGAAAGGAGGGGAAAAAAAAAAAAAAAAAAAGGACACAGCAGCAAATTAAATGCAAAGCCCCCCCACCAAAAAAATATTTAGCCGTAAGTTCTTTGCCTACATTGATGTCCCAAAGAAGTGTGTGTGTGTGTGTGTGTGTGTGTGTGTGTGTATGTGTGTGTGTGTGTGTGTGTATGTGTGTGTGTTCATATATATACACGGGGGTGCCAAAAAATGTATAGACATATTAAGCAATGCTATGCATGTATTACTTTTCAAAGTTGAATTAAATCACAGTAGCAATGTGTAGCATGACGTTTGCTCAGTGGTGCTTCTGCTATTTTCTTTTCCTGTCACATGATGATGTTAGCACCCATTTGATTAGCACCATCTTTTGAATGGACGTCATCCTTAAAATGTGCATACTTTTTTTTGACACTCCCTGTATATGGGGGGTGGGGTGGAGAAAGAATATGAATTATTTCAGAAAACGCAGGACTAAATCTTAAAGGAAAAAGTGAAGGTAGTTTGGTGACAAGGGGTGCAAGGAAGGGTTGACACTGCCCAGTGACAGAAATGTGGTAATGTGAACTGGTTAATGAACCCTTCCAAGAAAGAGAGCTTGGCCAAATGAAGCCGAAGGCAAGTGCATAGGTGGACGGGCCTGTGTGCAGGCCTGTGTGGGCGCAGTACTTTTGAGCTGATGTCTTCAGCTATGTTGGCTCACACTGTATTCAGCTACCCGTACTGGGTGGTGAAGAGCATGCCTATGCTGAGAAGAACAGTGCACAAACCTAGGAGGACGTGGCAGCTTACCTCCACCATTCTCCTATTTGTCAGTCCTGCAGAGGTAAACTCACACTTGCTCTTTTCTAAAAGCACTCTGGTTTTCCAACCTCCTACCTTTGCTTTAGCTGGTCTCTGGGGGACTAGAATGCCACCCACACACTACCTGCTATCTCCGCTTATCAAGACCCACCTCCAATGTCACTTTCTCCATGAAACAGATCTTCATGCTCTTAACCTGCCGTGAATAATCAGAATATACTGAGTGCATCTTTTTAAAAGAATTTTTAGTATGCCCTATATTTGGACTATTTTAGTGTTTGTCTTTTCTTCCCTTCTTGGTGATGTTTCTTGATGGCTGGGACTAGACCGTATTCTACCTAGTCTCAAGCTGTAAAGATGAATCTCTGTAACCTACAAAACACCCTAGAAATATATAAGGATACTATTATAATTATAGTAATTAGTATAAAACTTTAAATGTTGACAGTGAAAAATCTTTGCAGAATTGATAACTAGTGATGTTACAGTCTCATACGATGTGCAGTTCTCAATAGATATTTAAATGCTTTAGATGTTTTGTTGATAATAGGCTATTAAAATTCCTACTCAGAAATTAGCTAAATAAATACTTAGAGAAAAATTTATGTTTGTTTGTGAATAGCAGAATATTAATGTGGACTTCATTGTCTTTGGTGTATTGAAATAATTTTACAGACAGCTTTCCATGTTAGATTTTATTGAAAACTATTGACAAAACCATTGTAAACTGTGACTGAGTCAGGCTTTGAAAAAATTCTCAATATCTTGTTGGCAAGTCTATGATGCCAAAAAAGAGAGGGTTGAATGTTTAAACTTACAGAGTGATAATATTTTGGGGTTCTCTTCTTCCTTGGAACTCTAGAGATATTGAGAAGGAAAAGCGAGGTACACTTTGCTACATTAGTGAGAAGTTTGGGTGCTGGAAATGTGTGTATGCCTTTTAAATTGGAAATAAAAAATATGAACTCCAAAGCACCTAATGGTTTTTAAGTTGCTATGTGTGGCACTTTAAGCTTCCAGGTATTTAACTTATATAGTTTTGATTTAATATAATTAAAATTGTTTTAAGCTCCGGTGATTAGTGGGCTCTAGGATTTTTATGCTGAGAAATCCTGTACTTCTAGTTAAATGTCTTATATCCTCTATTTAATTTTATAGAAACATATTAATTATCTATATAATCTTTGTATGCTAGATATGTTAAATATGTTAGGTACATTTTATAAAAAATATTCTCTGTAGTTGCTTTAAATGTTCAGATGTTAAATATTTTCAAATTCCTGTTTGTTCTAACCTCTGCCTTACAGTTGATGGTGTGTATTATGGCATTTTCTCTTTCCCAATCTTGGGTCCTTGTTCTCTTTCTCTCCTTAAGCAAATCTTCAAATTCCATAGGTTTCCACTTGAAGCCCTTATAGGAGCCTGTGTATCAATTTAAAAAATCCCGTTGGATCTAAAATCTGGGCTAGGGATCTATATTTTGTTATAAACATAAGTGGGCTAAATCCATGCTCAGTGAGACCTGAAGCTTAATCAGTTTGGGAAGAGTTCTCTTTAAGAAAAAAGAAATGATGACCACAAGATCCCTACAGACACACAAAACCTCCTGAACACAAAGGAATGTCGGAGTGGAAAGGGACTACACTTTTAACTGATTGTGGTCAAAGTATTTTACCTCTGCAGATTTTAGAAAAGCATGTGGCCATGGAAAGGTACTTTTAAGTCGCCTCCCAGGGCCTTGGAGAAAGGCTGCACAGGTGCAGGCAGGGACTCGAAGTTTCCTTAGCTTTGGCTGAGTCCACCTCTGAGCATAGCCGTTTCAAACCTACTCCACGCCCTCCACGTGATAACAGAATACTGCACGGTAAAATTAAAGCTTTTGTGATGCACAGCATAGACCTTGGGAGAATTCTCAACTCAACTCACCTGACAGTACATCCTTTGCAATCACCTTCTTTTTCTCGGAAATTCCACAAGCCTATGGGTTTGTTGTCAAAGTATGTTTCTCCCATACAGCCAGTGAATGTAGTCACTCGTACAGCATCAGCCTTCTGCGGAAAGAAATAATTGTATTTGTTAGAATTTAGAATTTCACAAACCATCTTGGAATATCCATGAGAGTTACTCTCAGCAAAAACCAGTCATTATTATTCATTTCTTCTGATACTTTTAGTTTTGCACATATGCATCCGTTTACTGCTCTATACTCTTATAATGATATATTTAGGCCCGGCCCCGTGGTTCAGTCTGTCATCCCAGCACTTTGGGAGTCTGAAGTGAGTGGACTGCCTGAGCCTGTGGGTTCAAGACCAGCCTGGGCAACTTGGTGAGACCTCGTCACTACAAGAAATAAAAAAAAATTAGCTGGGCATGGTAGCGCACGCCTGTAGTTCCAGTCACTTGGAAGGCTGAGGCGGAAGGATCACTGGAGCCCAGCAGGCTGACGCTGGGGTGGCTGTGAACATGCCACTGCACTCCAGGCTGGGTGACAGAGTGAGACTCCAAGTCGGCAACAACAACAAATTATATCCTTATAATTCTATCTGCTACTCCAGGATGGGTCCACAAAAAGAGAAATGCTCACATATTCCATCAACTGATCCCAGCAATTTTTGTTTTGCGCTGTTTATCACCATTAGTAAGTGAACACTACCTAGCTTCTGACCTGAGATGAGCTGCTGACGTTCTAGACGATTCGATTCTTTTGTCTGTATCATGGGATTATTGTGGAAATAAAATTAGATAATTTATTTATGGTACCCATTTTTTTTAACGTTTAACAGTTTTTTTTCAAAATAAAGAATATGTAAATGAACAGCCAGATGAAGAGGGGCCTAGGGTGGGGTCCAAGCACAGGAAAGGCTCCAAGCACAGGAGCTTCTGGTTCCTGTGTAGTGGGGCTGGCTCATAGGGTACCAAATTTAGTGATTGACACAAGAAAGGTGTTTAACGAATTCTAGTGCTCCTCTATTTTCTTTGGGCAAATCTAGGCCACACATACACTAAGATCCTCCCCCCCCCGCCGCCATGCTCAGGAGAAAGAGTATATCCTGACAACATAAAAGGTATTTTTAAAGTGCTAGCATGCATATAAATTATCTCATGGTAGCCAGGCTCGGTGGCTCAGCCTGTAATCCCGCGCCTTTGGGAGGCTGAGGTGAGTGGATTGCCTGAGCCCGCGGGTTCGAGACCCGCCTGGGCAGGCGAGACCTCATCTCTACAATAAATCAAATAATTAGCCGGGCATGGTAGCACACATCTGTAGCTCCAGCTATGTGGAAGGCTGAGGCCGAAGGATTGCCGGAGCCCAGCAGGTCGAGGCTGCGGTGGCCAGGAGCGGCCACTGCACTCCAGTCTGGGTGACAGAGTGAGACTCCAACTCAAAAAAAAAAAAAAAAAATTATCTCATGGTAGTGCTATTCTAAATTTTTCATTTTTGGTCACAGTCGAGCAAATGTTCAATTCAAGAGACTAAAGAAAAAGGAATCAGTTTTGTAAAAGAAAAGATGATGGTTGGTGGTATTGGCTGGTATAAACATCAAAGGACCTGCTCGATAAATATCTGTTGAATTCCAATCAACATCCTCACAAAGACATGGTGACATCCTCAGAAAAAAGTCTTAAGCTTGATACAGACTTTAATCACAAAGAAGTAGAATGTCCTGGTCCATTCTATAGAAACTTGTTGTAAATTTAAAAAATGATTTGTTTTGGCATTGATGTAAGTTAATATAGTCATGTGTCTCAATGATATTTTGATCAATAATGAACAATGTATACAATAGTGGTTCCATAAGATTATAAAACCATATTTTTATGGTAAACTTTTCTATGTTTAGATATACAAATACTTGCCATTATGCTACAATTGCCTATGGTATTCTGTACTGTAACATGCTGCATAGGCTTGTAGCCTAGAAGCAATAGACTATACCATATAACCTATGTGTGTTGTGGGATTCACAATCTAGGTGTATGATGTGTGTAAGTACTGTATGCCCTGTGATGTCCTCTCAAACATGAAATCACCTAATGATGCCTTTCTCAACACTTATCTCAGTTGCTGAGGGAAGCGTGACTGTATGATATTCTGGTGCCTATAAATGTAAAACTCAATGCCAAAGTTAACCTGCATTTATTTGAATTATCTGGGAAAAACAGTGAATTAACATGTTTGGGTTTTAGAACAAATGAAAGAAGATGGTCACTAAATAGTTGAAAATGTATAGTAATTTTAGGGTAAACTCATCAACACATATGTCCTCCCATCATTGTGACCAAGTGTTGCAGAGACACGCAAAAACAAAGCCCCTGTCATTTACCAGTCAGAGTAATCCTTAGATGCTCTGTTGTCATTTGGAGTCTTAATTTTCTAGAGGTTGATTATTCTACTTGTGAATTCTACTTTCTTTTTGCTTCTCTTCATGTCCTGAAAAGCTATACTCCAGATTTTTCCCTGTTCATTTAAATTCTTGACAGCAAGTTCACTTGGTTATTTGGTTTTAGTGTTTGGTTCATATCTTGGTGTGGCAGAAGCCTTGAAATTCGTGACCAAAGTGATTTCTTAAGATTTTCTATAGATTTCATTTATCTATGTTTTCTTTTTTTTTTTCTCAAAGACTGATAGAAAGTTACATTGACCCAATGACATCTGCATAATAATTGTTAGTTAAGGTACAATTTAAGGTGTGACTACTATATCTTAGGCATTTGTCACACACTTTATACACATAATCTATCTCAGGGGTCCTCAGACTTTTAAAACAGGGGGCCAGTTCATTGTCCTTCAGACCGTTGGAGGGGCGGACTATAGTTTAAAAAAAAAAAGGAATTTTATCTCATAATTCATTGTGGCAAGTGAAGCAAGGTAATGTGCCTATTAACTTATGTTCAAAACCTAGCTTTGCCACTAATTGCTGTGTGACCTTGGTCAACACATTTAACTTCTCTCTTCCTCAGACTCCTTAACTATCAAATAAGGAGAACATTACCATCTGCCTTGCTCTCGGCTGAATATTTGTATCCCTCCCAAAATACACATGTTAAAATGCTACCTTCCAAAGTGATGGTATTAGTAGGTGGAACACTTGAGAGATGATTACTTCGTGAGGGTACAGCCTTCATAAATGGGTTTAGTGCCTTGATAAAAGGGACCCCAGAGAGCTCCTTCGCCCCTTCTACCAAGAGGACACAGTAAGAAGGCACCTTCTATGGGAACAGGCCCCCACTAGACACCGAACCTACCGGTGTTTTGATCTTGGCCTTCTCAGCCTCTAGAGCAGTGAGAAATAAATTTTTGTTGTTTATCAGTTACCCAGTTTTATGATATTTTTGTTATAGCAGCCTGAATGAACTAAGACGTATCTTCTGGAGTTGTAAAAATTAAGCCAGTTAATTCATATCAATTACTTAGAACATCATTTAGCACAAAAGGAGGGCTATAAACTGTTATAAGTTTAGTATTATGTCCTACAATATGCAAGGAAAGTAGATATTTTTAATACCTCTTTTCTAATTGAGAAAACTGAAGCCCAAGGGGTTAAGCGACTAGCCCAAGGTCATATTTTAGTAAGTGGTAAAGGAGGAAATCCAATCTGGATTCGATTTCAAAATTCATGGTTTCTTTTGAACTACTGCTTGCTATCCCTATATTTATATTTCTGGGAAGGAGAGAAAGTGGGTAATATGACTGTATTTACTATGCGCTATATATATTTATATGAAGTGCTAAGAAATGAGACTGAGAAATGAGGATGGCTTAAGTGTGTAGTTGTGGAACCAATTTCCAACCCTTAGAGTCACATCTCATACGCAAAGCAAGTAAGACAACCTCACTCTATATGAAGGTTGTGTTCTCATAAACTGAGGGTCACCCTAACTTTTCACATTTTCTGACTAATCTTGTCCCAGGGTGATTCTGGCAAGCCTAGAATTATCCATTATATTTGGCTGTGTTCTTGCATCTTATCCACAGTCGTTTTCCAACACCTAATTCCATTTAATCAACACAAACTTCCTTAAAATGCAGGCACTTTGCAATTTGAAATGCACAAGGGCCTGCCATGAAGCAATTATGAATATTAAGTGCATTACCCTATAAGACTCAGAAGAGCAACTCGAAAACTTTTAAAATCAGATCATGATTCGAAAGCTTATGGCTCCCGTGATATTTCCCAAGGTATTCATAAATCTTTTAATTAGATGTGAGTATGAACTTTATAGCACTTCATATCTATAAATCATAAACTGATTCGGAATATGAGGTATACTTAAAAAACATTTTGCTCTTGAGGCAACTAAAATAAGAATATAAAAAAAATTGATGTCACAGATAAGGACAAAACAACAACTGTTTAAGTAAATACACATAGGCATAAAAGTATTGTGTCTCCACAGTGAATATTTAAGGAAGAAAATTCTTACTCAAAATAAACCCATGTTTTCATAAACTCAAGTTAAGTAAAATGTGGTCAAGTTTTACAGAGATTTTTCATGCTTTCTCCTCAAGCAATCATGTCAGGAGTTGTCAATAAAGATGAAATAAACAGGAGGAGGAACACATTACCTTTATTTTCCCAGTCAAGCCGCCAACAAACAGCATTGCATTTGCATCCACATCTAGAATAGTGTACCCCGGAGGAGATGCTGAGTAGTACGTGCCAGGTACAATGCTGGCTTTGGGTCCATCCAGGGCTCTCACAGAAATAGTTCCATTTCTCCCAGTTCTTTGAGGGCACATGTTGAAATAAAGTGGAAAGAAAATCCAGAAAATAAGATATGTCTCACCACTTCTGATAACTTGAGGTTTAAAATGTAAAGTCTTGTTTTAAAAATGTAAGAGGCAGTTGAGTGTTTAGCTTCAAACATTCCAGATTTGCTCAATCTCAAATAAATACTCAGAGTCTGATCTTTGCTGAATATTCACCCTCAGATTCGATCAGAGCCAGAGAGCACCATATCCTCATTCTGTGTGTATTCATTGATAAGAAATGACACAGCAGAAATTCACTGATGAAGTTGCTATTGGTTGAGTAGAAAGCCTTTTTCCAATTGCTTTACGTAATAATTTACTATTTACCAAAACATTCAATTTAAATGAATTTATACCACTTCATTTAGCATTTTGTCTAATTTAATTCAGCAAGTGGATCCCAAATGAGCCATTTCTCGACACCGTAAGCGGCATAATTTCTCCCAAAATTCTTTATAATATCTTGGATCCAAGTTTGCTGAAGTAGTCTCTCTGGAATTGTATGCCTTTTATTGTTTGGCACACCATTGTAATGTACAGAGTACAATGCCTAGTCTTCAGAGTTGTATATACAAATTGTACACAGAAGTTTACTTTTAAATTTAATTAGCAGAATTTTGAAAGCTATTTTCATTTTCTTTTTAAAGTGATTGATATCCATGAGTTGTTAAATACGAAAATCTGGTTTCTCTTCTGAGACAAGCAGTCATAACAAAACTTCAGTGTCATATTTCTTTGCCTGCTGTCACATTTTGGTAATCTTTTTATCTTTGAAGGTGTCACATTTTGGTAATCTTTTTATCTTTGTTAAGTGAAATGCATGGTAACAAAAGAATAAATTTATCAAATAAGGCTCGTTTTCTTTATCAGAATTTATCTCTTCAGAAAGAAGAACTGCACTTTTTGCTTTTTGAGTATAAAGGCCCTTAAGCCCAGGAAAGTACTTAATCCTAACACCATCACACATGCCAACACTTTGTCTCTCCTGTCTCTCTCTCACACACACACCTGCACACACTCACATTCTTTCTTTCTCTGGTTGAAAATCTTTAAAAAAGAAATAAAAATATTGCCTCTCATTTTTTTAAAGGAGATATGGTCTTGCTATGCTGTCCAGTTGGAGTACAGCACCTATTCACAGGCACACTTATTACAGACCACATACTCTAACTCCTGGGCTCAAATGATCCTCCTGCCTCAGTCTCCCAAGTAGCTGGGACTGCAGGTGCATACCTCTGCACCCAGATCCTTCTTTGAAGCTTTTGGTTATGGAAAAATTTGAGTATATACAAACAGAATAAAACTCTATGTATCCATCACCTAGATTCAACAATGATGGATTTATGAAGTCTTCTCTATCCATCTGTGATTAGCTTCATGTCTAGCCTTAGGCCTTTTGTCATATCTCTACTGTTAGCCGTTTTGGGTTTGAGAGTTGAGAAAGAGAAGTTGAATTGAGAGTTGAAAAGGAAGAGAAAATGGGGAAGTGATGAGGACGGGGTGGTTTTGTAAATAATCTATATACTGCTAGTAGTTGATAATTTAATTAAACTTTTTTTTTTTTTGAGTTGGAGTCTCACTCTGTCGCCCAGACTGGAGTGCAGTGGCGTCTCCCGGCCACCGCAGCCTCGACCTGCTGGGCTCCGGCGATCCTTCCACCTCAGTCTTCCACGTAGCTGGAACTACAGGCGCGCACTACCACGCCCGGCTAATTTTTTGATTTACTGTAGAGATGAGGTCTCTTCTGCCCAGGCGGGTCTCGAACCTGCGGGCTCAGGCAATCCACTCACCTCAGCCTCCCAAAGGCACGGGATTACAGGCTGAGCCAGCGAGCCTGGCTAATTAAACTTTAAATATAGAATTTACTGACTCAATTCTCTATTACTTCCCATTTAAAGTTATGTGGACCTCACATGCTACACATGGATCCCAGCATTTTGAAACTGCAGGCACTTGCAGGTATGGTCACTATGTAGCTAGAAGAGAAGCTGTGTACACCAAAGACACACAATAATGCCAGTTCTGTGTGTTGGCTTGTCTTTAATATGAATATCAGTATTTTTGTTTTTGTGGTTGTGAGATAAAATGACTGGACCAGCTTAACCTCCAAATTCCTACCAGATATCAGATAAAGGAGTCAGAAATGGACTGGTCACCCTAAGCAATACCTTGATGACTTGTCAGTTCCTAATAGGGGTGACAAAGATACTCAATTCCCACACATGTATACATATACATATAATATATAAAATTCATGCACAGGTGTACACATCCATATACTGCTGCCTTATTGAAATGGAAATAGAAGTTTTCTTATAAACTAGGAAACAACTCCAAAGTTCTGCCATTTAATTATATAAATGTTTAATGAGTTGGTTACCTCGATGCTTCAATACGGTACCAATATGAGTCATCAATAGTCAAATCCGGATACTCTACACGTCCGACTCCAGACCCAACATCCCACAGAAAACTCACTTTACCTTTACGCATTTCTATGGCCAGAAAGTCAATCTAGTTCAGAGAAATGAAAAAAAAAAAGATATTTCAGATATGAGGTACCCTAACAGAGGACAGCAGAATAGTACTTTTAAGTACCATTTACAGATATATAAAATAATTAGCTATTTTATGATACAACTTATCAAATGCTATGATTTATTATGCATGACTAAAGTGATATTTTATTATTGTATCTTTAAGGCAGAAAAAATCCATACTGCTGAGATGTATGTGTTAATTTTATTAATTCTTAGGTAGGTTTAATTTTGAGACAAAAGCCTTTCTCACTCTGATACTTGTGGTAAAGATAAAAGCAAATATTAAGATTCAGAGTTCATTATTGTTTTTACCAAAGACACTGACATTTTTGAGGGGGCTGCTATGATTTTTTTTGCACAAAGTGACTCACAACGCCTCACCTGAACGGCAAATATTGACTTATGTCATGGCTGGTCTGTTAAGAAGTCTTATTCATTTTGGAAGATTCCCCATGCATGTAAAGTCAAATGGTTCAAATGGAAGGAATTAGAACTTTATGGGTGAGCTTTTGTAGATATCACCTGTGTTATTTCAGTTTGAGTCAAAAATTCAGCACAAATTAGAAGAGTTTTCATTGCTGAGTAAGTGCACAGTTTGCTGTTTTCATTTCACTAACATGAAATGAAAATGTAATTTCTCAGTTTGAGAAGAGTAAATAAAATCATTTTGTTCCTATTAGCCTTTCTTCTTAAATAGTTTGATCCTGAAAATTTAATTCAAAATAAATGCTGGTATTCTGAAAAACGAAAGCAAATGTTCCTAAATACTGTCATTTTCTTCCTTCCATTTAACTTCTAACTTAATTTGACACTTCAGAACTTTGCGAGGTAAGATTTCAAATCAGAAAGCCTACATATTAGACAATTCTTGGACGAGATATTGAATCCTATATGTATTCTCCAATACCGAGATTAACCTCCAGTTATACACACACAGTAGCCTAAATAAAAGCTGGGTATTAGACTTACAAATTTGGCACTTCCAAGATAAAACAGGAGGTTGTCAGCAACAGCTGTCTTTACGTTGATGACAATATTATTGTAACTTCCTTTCTTGATTTCGGGCTTGTACGTTCGAATGCAGTCACCTCCTGAAGACACAGATACTTTGATCTTTAAGAAAAACAAGGTACAAAGAACCAGGACTAAATCTCGCTGAAAGTTTGAAGTAGTTCCCAAACAACCACAGAGCCATCATAATTTCTTCTTTGAAGTTATTTTCCTATCATCAAATAGTATCATTAAATACTCATATGCAGACACCATTATACTCATTGATGAGGGCACAAAAGAGAAATTTTTCCACTAGCATTTTTGACAATGAGCTGTTCACAATTCCACATCTTGTTAGCATGTTACTGTTTCCTGAAGCACACAGTGAACAAATTCTTACCTTCATACCTCTCACTATATGAATATGAGAACATTTTCAAAAGGTGATTTTGCCTGGAGCTAGCGGGAATGATCGTCATTAAGGAAGTTTAATGAAGTTTTACAATTCAGATTTCAGTGGTTTTGGTATCGCTTAAAGTAGGAAACCTTTTTTTCTTTCAGTTTTCAGAGGAAATTACCTACTCCCCCCATGTTCTTACAGTTGGAAGAGGACAATTAGATTTTGTTCTAGATGTTCTAACAATAAGAAGAATATTAATCATTCTACTCAGAACATACATTTCAGAATAAATTATACCTTTTTATTAAGTTGCTGGGAAATGAAATGGAAATAATTTCCAATGGCTATCACTACTAATGTATTTAACAGCTCCTTTTTCTTGGGAATAATATCTTAAAAATTACTATAAATTGCTAAAAAAGGAATTCCTATGTGAACAGAGTGACATGGCTCGTACCAATTTTTACTTACATTTAGAGAGCCTTCCTTCAATCACAAATAACACTAGTTGATCATTTGACTTAATTTCCTTTGAGTCAGGTGGAAAATCATCATCAAGGAGCTACTTTCAGGACAGCAATGTAGCTGCTTGGACTCAGATGGAATCTGTAACTTTGTTCATCCATAGTGCTCAACGGAGGAGGCAGGGCGAGGGGAAGATGTAAAACTACTCTGCACTGGTTCAAGTACCCAGTTTCAAGAAGCCCCTCGGCCCTCACTAGCAGTGAATTTCCCTTTTGTCATTTCTTCTAGCATTTTGTACCACTCATATCATTTGCACATTTGGAAGAAAACCAACTAGCAGTATCTTTACCCCTCTGGAAGTGCTGTGCGGACTTCCAACAAGGGAACCTCAGTCACTAAACCAGTCTCCAGATCATGGTGATACCGGGAGGTGTCTTCAAGACTCTCATTTTTGTATAAGTGTAGACAGTGTCATGACCTTATTCCAAGGGTGGTGAAGAACACACCACAAAGGTGCTGGGTGCCGTGTTGACTGGATTCAAAAGAAAAAGCTGAGAAGGGATCTGGGGTTCTTGACAAAAAAGCAAATTCACATATGTTCGGGAACATCTGGAAATACAGCGGGTGTTTCACCACCTCCAGACCCCGCACAAGTCATGTATTTGTGTATTGCCGTTACCTCACCCGATCTGCTAAGCACATTGCATCTCCATGTCTAGGAAACTGTGTCCTAGAAAGAAACGAGGCTATCTCCTCCACCACCAGGAGGTTGTCAGTTCCTAGAGGTCTGTGTGACGGCCGGGGGTTGGAACACCCTAGGAAACCTACTGCTTAGAGTGCTTTCTTTGTCCTTGGTTTCCCCAAAAGGGCAGGGTATGGCTTGCCAACTGAGGGTTGAGGACTGCAGGGTCAACTCTGGTCCCCAGAGAGTTTTCTCTGTGTCCCAGGGAGACAGTCTACCTGGTAGGGTGGTTTTCAGTCAGGAAGTTGGTTTTTTGCTTCACACATCGTGGAAATTTCCCTTTTGCACACAGCACTGAGAGTAGGTGAATACAAATAAACTGCAGAAAAAGTGAAGTAGGAAATACACAGTTTTTACTTTGGATGTTAATGCTATAAACCAATGCAAAATGGGAGTTGGTCAGAAGTGTCATATGATAGAACGGCAGCTAGACAAAGGATTGGACATAAAAAGGATAAAGCCAAGCAAGAGAAAGATGATATAGTAGAGGACAGGTAGGAAAAATACATTCTTCAGGTTTTTTTTTTTTTTTTCTTGAGTTGGAGTCTCACTCCACTGTCCAGGCTGGAGTGCAGTGGTACGCTCACAGCCACCCCAGCTTCAACCTGCTGGGCTCCGGAGATCCTTCCACCTCAACTTTTCAAGTAGCTGGGACTACAGGCGTGCACTACCATGCCTGGCTAGTTTTTGTGATTGACTGTAGAGAAGAGGTCTCACCAAGTGTCCCAGGCTGTTCTTGAACCCCTCACCTTGGCCTCCCAAAGTGCTGGGGTGACAGGCTGAGCCACCGCGCCTGGCCCAGGTATTTTTAATGCTCAGAAAGGATGTGGGAGACAGTGGGTTTTTAGAAATGTGCAGCAAGTGAACCAAAATTATCATCGGAGAAGACCTTTGCATTGAGCAAATTTAATATCTGAGGCCAGCTATAAGCGCCATTAACACCAGAACAAGACCAAAGAGAACAAGAAATCAAGGTCTGACTTGAATTTATGAACAAAACTGAATAACATGTTGAGTTTTCCCTGGCAAGAAATCACATCCAAATTCCCCAAGAGACTGAATTAGTAGGCCAAAGTAACTGTGTGTAGTTTATTTTTACTTCATAAACACTTTATAGGCTTGGCCATAGGGTGATATAATGGCTAGTTGAATTCCTAATAAGCCATTCTTGTTTAAAACACACAAGTAATATTCTTCAGGTACTGTTTAGAGAAGAAATAACTGAATAAGTATAGAATGTGGTCACAGGAAGGATTTTTCAGTCCTTGCTTAGATAAATCTGGTGGAAACAATATGAGATTACATGATTGTGTGTTGAAAAGGGAGCTGCCTAGGTGTAGAAGACAGAATACCAAGTGCTGAAATCTAACTGAACTGAACTGATGAAACTCCATCTGAGAATTCTGAGAGAGCAGCCATTTTAAAACTAAGGGTAACTAATATGACTAGAAGTTACTATTAATCTGCTTTATTGCATACTTTGCATATATTTAAAATATGTTTCTCTGAGCAAACTGATGTTGTCTTACCTGATATGCCAGCAATTAATCTCATAAAAGTCTGACTGTGTCCCTCAAAATTCAGTGTAGGAAATTTAACCCCAATGTGATGGTGTTGGGAGGCGTTGCCTTATGGGAGGTGTTGGGAGGCATGGGATCTGTCTTTTCTGTTCTCCTGCCATATGAGAATACAACTTTTCTCCTCTCCAGAGGATGCAGTATTCAAAGTACCATCTTGGAAGCAGGAAAAATGGGCCGTAGCTTGCTGGCTTCTTGATCTTGGACTTAGACTCCACAACTATGAAAATGTATTTCTATTCTTCATACATTACCCACTTTATGTTATTCTGTTATAGTAGCAAAAATGGATTTAGTAATCTGTCACTCAACTTTTCCACACTCATATAGAAAACCCTCTTAGACTTTCTGATTTATGATTTTGAATATCCTCTCACTACTTGAAAAATTTAAGTAGCCCAAACTAGTAATTTCTCTCTTTAAATACTTTGTTTCTTGATTTCTAATTATAGGTATTTCCTTTAACCAACTGAAAACATGTAAATCAAATACAGTATTTATTAATTTATCTAGAAGAAATTTTTATGCTATATCCCTCTTGTAAGAAGGGAGAACTTTCTGAAATACCAGCATCCTAAAGGGATGTTTGGCTCTATCAATTATTGCTATTTCTAATGTGACTTCCTAGTAAGGCTTCTAAATAAAAATCACTAAGCATTAAGTATCTGTAAGACATTTCTGATACAACATTATTCACCAGTTAATCATCATGAACTCAATTAAACATTATTGAATAGCCCATTATTATATCTATTGAATTTTTCACTGCATTTTTCATCCAGTAAGTAGGTCATTCATTTAAAAGAGTATCAGCCACTCAATTTTTAGAATAAAAAAACCAAAGACAGCTACTTTAAAATAAATGTCCTTACTTTTTCAGTTCTATTAAGTATATGTTGAGATCACACCCAGATAGCCATGCCTGGTTACAAATATGTTTACAAATCAGAAAATGTAATCTTGAGTTAGTACAGGACTCACTTGAAAAAAAAAATGGCTGCTTGAGTATTTCTAACATCTTATATATTTATAAAAAAACAGTTTGTTGTAATTCCATTTCCAAAAGTGACTGGGAATTTCCTTGAAAGGCATAAACAATGGTTACTCTTTCGAGCGTTACTTTTATATTTTTCTTTCATTTTGTACTTGTAAACAGGTTTTATATGCTTACGTGTCATAATTTTGCCTTGTTTGCAAGGAGGGAAAAGCATTCACAACTAATGAATATATGGGTATGTTTTCAGATATCTTTACAATGAAGAAATAATAGAAATGTCCAGATTTTCTCACTTGATGACTAGGTCAGAAATTGTGGCTCTATGTGAGATTCACAAAATAATATTTACTATTATTGTTTCTTCCAGGTTAACATTGCAAAATCTAGGAGTGATATATCAATCTCTTTCCATTGTTACTGCTGCAGCTATAGTTGAATCCTTTGTTCTAGTTTTCTTCGTCTACTCTACAAACTACTTTCAGATTTATATTAAGAAAGCATAGCTCTGATTGTACTATGTTCTATGCTCAAAAACTTTAGATTATCCTCACCAATGAGATTTAACCCAAGAACAATTGTTTCTAAATGAAAATACTTGTCATTTAAGTACTGAAAAGACCTGGCCTCTACTGGCCTTTCCAGTCTAATATTTCCTTCACCAGTTACTCTTGGCAAACTGGACATCTCTTTCGTAAACTGACCCTTCTCACTCTGGCATGGGTCAAGCCATTTTCTCATTTCAGAATGGCGTCCCTTGACCCCTATCCCTGCCACCCACTCCCTAGCACTATCCCACTTCAATGCTGGCTTCAAATTCTTCCCTTCAGGAAATTTCCCGGCCCTACGATAGAAACTATTCCTGCTAGAACATTTATAGCCCTTCCCATGGCTCATGCAATGTGGCACAGTACTCTGCATTATCTTAGAGTTGTTTGTGTACATGTCTTATTTTTCCTACTTCATTATAAGCATTTTGAGTGAAAGCAATGAATCATTTGTCATTGTGTACCTCATGACAAGGATCACTGAACATAGAAGATGCTTTTTTTATGTTGGTTAACTCTTAGCTAAAACTTCAAACCTTGGAATAACATCTGGATTCTTTTAATCGTGTGCTTTACATATATAAAGATCACCTGTCAACCATACCACATGGTTTTTGTATTGCAGCTGAATATATATCTTCCCAGATATATATTCTCACTGCTTTTTAAAAACTCTTATTTTATGTAACATCACCGTCACAGATTTTTTTGCTATTTTCTAAGGGTTTTTTTTTTTTTAATTAGTCATGAATTCCTTTGCAACCTTCACCTTGAACCTGTCTTGGCTTTGTTTAGAGGTGTTATATGGGCATCAGGAAGAAAAAGGATATACTGTCACTTGAGCATCATAACCCTGGCTTCCATTAAAAATATATATAAATTGATGGAATAAGAAAGGGCTTTTCTGCCGGGCTCGGTGGCTCAGTCTGTAATCCCGCGCCTTTGGGAGGCTGAGGTGAGTGGATTGCCTGAGTCCGCGGGTTCGAGACCTGCCTGGGCAACTTGGCAAGACCTCATCTCTGCTATAAAAATAAAAAATTAGCTGGGTGTGGTAGCGCGCGCCTGTAGTTCCAGCTACTTAGAAGGCTGAGGCGGGAGGATCGCCGGAGCCCAGCAGGTCGAGGCTGCGGTGGCCGGGAGCGCCCACTGCACTCCAGTCTGGGAGACAGAGTGAGACGCCAACTCAAAAAAAAACAAACAAAAAAAAGGCTTTTCTAATCATCCTAGCTCCAAAGTTGTTCAAAACATGAAATTTTTTTGAGATGGCAGATTTAGGTATCTAAAATGTTTGAGTTTAAGCCTGAAAACATGAAAACTGACTTGAGTTTTTAAACTTGGATTATCCTCACATTGGTACTTAACACTTTGTCCTGGTTCATTAGTATGCTACCTTCTAGAAAGTTCTGCCCCTATCCTAGTAGACTTTTAATTGGGGGAATAAGGAGCAAAATTTGAGACAAGTCAGGTATTTTCTATCTTTACTCCAAAATTTTTCCAAAAAGTAGAAATTGTGACCAAAGTCATTTTTATTGTTGCTTATACTTAAGTCATTTTTATTGTTGCTGTTATTACATATAACCTTCTTCAATGATTTCTGCCACAACACCACTAGTTGGCTTTTTAAAAAAAATTTCATCAAGAGCAAGGTACTCTCATCCATGCTTTTTAGTACACAATAATAGGGCTTTTCCTTGTTATTTGTATACTCTATTTAAGCTATAATAACATATACCAGAATTCCTAATTCTAAAACATTAAGTGGTGATTATTGTTCTTGTGAAATGTCTTTTGAAATGTATATTAAAAAATACAAATCCAACTTTTCCCTTCTGTTGTGTCCCAAATAGCTTTCAGTTAAAGGAAAAAAAATCAGAGATCATTCACCAGCAAACTCTGAGGAAAGACATTTCCTCTAGGAATAGTCCAACAATTACAATCAGTTGCTGATACCGAAGATCAAAAAAGCTTACAGAATTGGCTTGTTTCCGGGCTTGGTTGATCAGTTCCTTTATCTCAGAGATGTTTTTCTTCAGGTTGTCCTCAAGTTCCTTGATGGGTTTGAGTTTATCTATCAGTCGATCAGCTTCTTGTTCTAGATTTTTCACAGTGGCGTCTGCATCTGTAACTGCATAGGAAAAATTAGCATGCACACACATGTGCATGTATACACATGACACACACACAGAAGTAGATGAGCAGTAGGGTTCACTCAACAATTTCATCTTATTAGCGTGACAAAGCAAGACTATGATTGCCGAAGCAAAATGCGTGATGGCAAATGTGAATATTTTAGTTGAGACTCAAGCAGGCCAGAGAAATTGATGTTAAGAGAAAGAGGGCCACCACTGTTGCTTTGTGATTAAGGTGAAAATTAGCACTGAAGGTAGAGAATAAAACAAACTTAATTCAGTGCTTAATTTCTAGCTTCAGCCTAAAAGTTAACCTTTGCAGAATAGAACTTTAGTTATAGAAGCAAAGAAATGAAAGCGTCTTTAAAATGTCACCTGTCCAAGCCAGAACTATATTTAAATCAGGGTTCTTACACAAAATTGGTTTTCTTTCTTTTCTCACTGTCTTTCTTTGCACATCTTAAAGAGAGAAAGGCTATCAAAGTGCCTTTTGAAGAACATTTTGATGTTGAAAAACCCTTAGACTGAAGGTCTATGTTATACTTTAATTAAATCTTTCATACTGCAGTTCAATTTCATTTTGAAGAATAGTTGATTATCCTGTGTTATATATTAGATTGACCCATATTAAACTGCCATTTTTGTAGGTTAAAAAATAATAATAAAAGGTTGAATATTGGCAATTTCAAAAGCTTCAACCCTAAAATAGTTGAAGATTATCACTGACCCATAGACTTTCAGTATGTGCTCTTCAAGGGGGGGCATATGACACATGGAAAATCACTTATTCTGTCTCTGGATGCTAGCAATCTTATCCAAACGATGCCATTTATTATCTGATTGAGTGTGTATTGTTCAGCTTTCTGTCATTGTGACCCTGATGAAAAAGTTAAACTGCTTAAGGCCCAAGACTACTTGCCCTGTTCGGCTGTGAATTGTCTGTTCTATGGCTGACAGACAACCACTGGGAACAAATCTTCAGGATTGAATCAAAAGTGCTCAACCAGAAGCAAATTATTATTATTTTTAAATTCACTTTTGAAGTAGGTATTTTGAACTCATGTTCATAAATAGGAGTTCTATTGTTAGTGGTATTTCAAAAATTTAAAAAGGTCAGTTTATTGTTAACTTTAGTAGAGTTGCTATATCAAGAACTGAATATAAATTTTTTTCTGAAATGCAAGTTACCTGGGTCAAAGTCCTTGTTATATCATTGTATAGATAGCATAAACACAGTTACCCCTTTCTTTTGTGCACTGTTAGTAAACCACTTGTCCATTTTCCCTTTCCACTAATTCTCCAGTGTTATTCTGATGTTCTACAAATTACTCTAGAACTAAAGAAAAATGATTTAGATTTAGATTCATGGGAAAGAGTAAAAGTAGTTAAACACGGACAGTTAGGCTTAGGCAAAAAACAGATTCGTTTCTTCTAGAGGTCCCAGAAGTTTTTACCCAATGTTTCAAAATGATTCCATTCTTTTTGGAACATTCCCCTTCTTTTTTCTTTATCCCATTTCAAAAATTATGGAAATTATCTTCTTGAAGGTTTGTAAAATAAATCATCTATGATATCGAGTCTGATGGTTTCTGGTACAGCAGGTTTTAAAAACTTTCTTACTTTCTTTCATAATTATTTGACTGTGTAGATTTTTTTTTTTTTTTTGAGTTGG